CTGGGCATAGTGCTGTCCACAGGATCTATAAAGACGATGGGGCATAGTGCTGTCCACAGAATCTATAAAGACGGCTGGGCATAGTGCTGTCCACGGAATCTATAAAGACGATGGGGCATAGTGCTGTCCACAGAATCTATACTGCTGGGCATAGTGCTGTCCACGGAATCTATAAAGACGGCTGGGTATAGTGCTGTCCACGGAATCTATAAAGACGGCTGGGCATAGTGCTGTCCACGGAATCTATAAAGACGATGGGGCATAATGCTGCCCACAGAATCTATACTGCTGGGCATAGTGCTGTCCACAGAATCTATAAAGACGGCTGGGTATAGTGCTGTCCACAGAATCTATAAAGACGGCTGGGTATAGTGCTGTCCACGGAATCTATAAAGACGGCTGGGCATAGTGCTGTCCACGGAATCTATACTGCTGGGCATAGTGCTGACCACAGACATTATAAAGATGGCTTGGATAGTGCTGACCGGAGAATCTATGAAAACGACGGGCATAGTGCTGACAACATAATCTATAAAGATGGTCTTCATAGACCAAACAACAGTAAAAACGGATGACAACGTTTAATTGTTGCCTAATCGACCATGAAATCATTAAGCGTACTATAAAATATCAAATTTAAAACATTATTAGCCTTTGGCTGCCATTAAACTTTATACTAAGGTTCTTTGGTTTAGTTTAGGATTAAGATTGTGGTTTGAACTATGATCTGGGATCAGATATGGCTATGCGGGTAATCATAATCAACATTTCCTGGCTTCATTTAATTAACAACCTTTTAAAACGCTACCATTGATCATACACCTGAACAGGTCGTTCATCTTATCCTGTTGTAGTCCAGTACATATGGGGAAGACAATAGGGCCTGTAATTCTAAGGTCTTAAAATCTACTAGCTGGCAAGTACGAGAACGAGAAGTTGTGACCTACTTACAAGCCCTATAGAATTTATCGGTTTCAATGGCAATGGTGTACAGAGGGGAAGAGTCAGCACTAAGAACCGCCGCCTTTGTTTTCCTAACGTGAGTTTAGTAGGCCTACCTGTAAGGGTTGTGTGAGAATTTCCCCTTTCAACTCCACTACTAAATATTGTGAGGGTTTTTACTACCTTTCAAAAGTCAATACTTAGCCACCTGACAGAATACTTGGTACATTTCTACATCTGCGTTTATTTATATTACTATTGTATTACTGTTATCAACTAAGTAGACGATTAGAAAAGTCATTTACAATACACAAATTCCCTCTCCCTACTATTGTATTACTGATATCACCTGAGTAGACGATTAGAAAAGTCATTGACAAAACACAGATTCCCTCTTTCATCACAAGACTAGATCCAACTGTTTCTCTTCCACACCACAGCAGCACATTCTCTACTTAAAAACATCACTATCTTTTACACACGTCGTACTTTCGTACATTCAATATCACTTACACTAACATTTACTTGCAGTAAACTTTTTTTTTTTGAAAACATAACTGATAACTGCACCCGTCAGAGCTGAATCGACTCGGGAATGTCCTACAGACTTGGGCCAAGGACCCGAACTCGAGTTTTTCGGATAAGCAATCATGAGCTCTACCATTCAACCACGCCGTTCTCAACCCATACCACGTTATAGTGAATATAATTAGTCAGCCAGTAATTAAAAACAGCGAGCAGGTTCACCATGCATGAGAATCAAACCAATTACTTAGGCATGTACCGCAGACACTTAAGATGTGCTTTGATTACCGCAAACATGGGCGAGACCTCCTTGAGGTTAGCGGTCTTGCTGGTTGGTGAAATACAACATCTGCACCTGCATTGCGTGGCTTCTCGTTAAACTCATGCTGCTGATTGTGTTGACTGCTGGTCAGTGGCGTGGCAGGTTAGAGGTTGGTAAAGGTGGCAGTGGCGTAAACAAGGGAGGGGGAGTTAGGGAGTAGGTTTAGAGCCAACTACTCACGTACAGCCTAAACAAGATTGCCTCACGTTAAGTTAAAGCTATTCGTAAGTTCGTATCGTTTTGTACTTACAATTTCAAATCTTCTGAAAGTCATGAAAACAACAGTTTTATTTTGTTAACTTTTTAAATCGTTAAGGATTTATATATATATATATATATATATATATATATATATATATATATATATATATATATATATATATATATATATATATATATATATATATATATATATATATATATATATATGGTTCCATGACAAATGATCTCAGTACAATTGATCTCAGACAAAATATCTCTTAATCTTTGTAATAGCATTTGATTTGAAAAAGTAAAAATTAAAACAAACGTACTCCTGAAAGGTGTAATACATACATGCTTATGTGTAAAACAAATAAAGTAACGGTAGCTATACAACATTAATGTTCAAAACACGCGAAATATTTTTCAAAAACGTGAATGGGTCTTCAGGTTCGTAATGTAAAACTATTGTTTTTATTGTATCATCAACACAAACATAACGTTTACGTTTCTTTGCTGGCAAGTACATTGTTATGATCACACCTCTCCAATACTATGTGATCATGTGTGAACTCTAGCTCGACATGTGCTAACTTCACATTTCCAAATCTCATTGCCTGCTGCTCCACTTATGGCTTTTATAAACATAAATTCATCAGAAACTAATGTCCTATACCCTTTCTGCGAGGTAACGAAAGAGGCCATAGCTGAGTAATCACCACTTATACTGCTTTGTTTGCAAGCACAGTAAGAGAAACTTAGCTTCGCGATGACCGCTGTCGTTTAAATACGCATTTGTAATTTGATCACTAAGGTGTGACCGACGCATAACTATTGACTTTAGATGTTAGTTGTATTATGGAGGGCGGATGTCTTTATCGTAAGTCATGTCTCTGCCATCAAAGCGGGCGGCCACCTTGATACGAAGGTGTGTCTTTATTGTTATTTCATTCCCTTTGATCCAGTTTCATCCACCTGACATGGTAGGATTGTCTCATGTTTGGCAAGCCCACCTACGTTGTCTATCGAAAAATCTATTTTAACTTCACAAACTGTATTAGCAATCTTAATTTTAAAATGTTTAATGCAACATGACAAATTTATGCGGCAAACATTTCTTAAAATTATTATATAGGCCTATGAACAACATTAAATATAGTAAACAACGCCATATGACAGTCAATAAAAAAATGTTCAGATCAACTAAAATCATCCAATTTTGCTGTCAGATATTTTGTCTGAGATATTTTGTCTGAGATCATTTGTCCATGATATAATTTGTCCTGATATATTTTGTCCTGGTATCTTTTGTCCGTGGGATCATTTGTCCTTGAGATCATTTGTCCTTGAGATATTTTGCGTAAGATATATATATATATATACGGTAATTTAAATTACAAGGTATATTAAATAAAATATTACATCTGTTATTAATATACTTAATAAACTCACAATTTATTTTGACTAGATGGAGTTAGCATATTTCCCCGTTGGTGTTAAAATTTTGCTAAAATTAACAAAAAAAACCATTTCCAAATGGGGCCCCGGGCCATTGCCTATCCGGCCCACGCGTTTGGTCCGCACTGCTCTCATACTAGCATATTTCGCACACGTGTGAGCGCTACAAACATCACTTCAGATGAGATCACATGACCAACTTCCTATCATGGTACCGTGCAGTACCTCCCCTCACCGTCCCTCACCCCCCCCCCCCCCCCGGGCCAGATGTCCGCTAGAAGATGACATCTGTCACTCTGGGACCAGCCGACGATGAAACACTTGAGTACGTTGACCCCACTCTACTTCCCCCCTCGACAACAGTTTTGGACTCGGCAACTGTCGTTTGACCAGGTCCGATTCCATCATTATTCAATGATCTGGTGCTAAATATAGATCTCGCAATGGCACAATTAGTGCACAAAAATAGGTCAACCCCACGTGTTTATACAACATAGATTCCCCCCCCCCCCCTAATTGTTCCTGAAGAGGCATTTCATTGTTTCTTGAGTAGACTCCATATAAGACGGCCTAGTAACCTCGATAAGTTTTAACTCTTACTAAGAAGTAAAAAAAATATTCACAGATCAGCAATACATAATAACCCGCTCTCCTTTATTTCACAACTTTACGTTGCTTACGTTGGTTTCCTCGTTAAACGTTGCTCCATTTAGCGCTTAACTTCTCTATAGCGTCATCATAGAGCATATATGTTTTTGTATTCGTCTTTATGCTACAATTCACTAGTTCTTACAATATCACTTCTATGTCTTTGGTGATTTGTCTTTGCTTTTGTTCAACCCCATATAGTTCAACAACCGCATTGTTCAACACCTGTATGGTTCAACACCTACCACAGCCGCACCTCCTTGCGTATGTCCTAACCACAGCTTGAATCACCAGAAAATACAATGGCAAGAAATACAGTTTGTGTTCTGAGAGGAGAGGCACTCGGATAAGAACGATATTATAACTGGATAAATGTATTTAAAAAAACACAAATTTACCTGTGTAACGCATGCAATAAGGGAGGAAGGGGTGATAGTGAATTCACGATCACACATAAACAGATTAATTAAACTATTCCAAGCATTATTTTTAAAAAAAAAGTTTTTATTTTTTTTTATTTTTATTTTTATTTTTTGTAAATTGTGGTAAAAAATAATTTCTTGACTTAAACTTCTCTGGGGAGGGTGAAATAAGCTGAAAAAGTGACGTCATTTATGAACAATACCTTATTATCTTTGGTCTGTTCACAAAAAAGATGACACATATTTTTATAAAACAAATTTCCGTCCATTCATTATTCATAAATGAAGAAAGCTAGAAATTTAAAATTTTTTTTTTTAATCTACCAAAAATGTAAACACAAGATAAACAATCAACAATCTATAAGGAAGCGCGAGTCAGCTAGGCTATGACGTAGTAGGTCGTCCATGTTGAAATGGTAAGTGGGTCACTTGAAGCGTTGCGAGAGTATAAAACCCGACACATTCCTTTCTCAGCCAGTTGATTTACGCGGATGTAAAAATAAATCAAGTTCGACAACTTGTTTTATTGTGTTTTTACTTTCAGTATTACTAAGCTTCGTGTCAAAGTGTAGATAAAAAATTAGTTTAAAAGTAAGAAAAGTAAATAATCGTTGTGTTATTTATACATTTATATTTTGTGAGAGCTAAAAAGTTAATATAAAGAAAAATTTAAAAAGTGACTGTTTTTAAAATGATAAAGACGAATAGAAATCCAATGTTGTGCATACATTGTTTCGACAAAAAGTCTTCGTCAGAGAAAACACATTTGAAGATGGTTGTGAAAAGAAACAGTTCTATTTCATCTTGTTTGACTAAATTATCGGTTTTTAACTTATCATCGACTTTTATATGGTGTGTGCTGCTGTTTTCGTTATCGGCATCTGGGGTCATCGGGAGGCCAGAGGCTATAGGTCAACAGGCGGAGAAAGATGAAACGGCTTTTGTAGATGTGAGTATTTTTTTTTTTTACATTTTGGTGCGGGGATTTGGCGGGAGGCGGAAGTTGTAGGGGACAAAATTTCGGGGCGTCTAAGTTTAAGGGGACAGTATTCACGGGGCGTCGAAATTACAGGGTATCATTTTTTTGGGGGAGGGGGGGGGGGTTAAATGTCGGTTTTCCTGACAGAGTTTCTTTCAGGCATCTCTTCGAGCAGGGAAGGATGCACTGCCACCTCGAGGTATGTCACCCCCAATCCCTATAGAACGAAATAGAATTTATATAGAAAATATATACTTTTACCAGTGTCCGCCCCCCCCCCCCCGGAAAATGTTGACCACCCCCCCCCCCCTCGAAAATATCAAGTGCCCCCCCCCCGGAGAAAAAAGTCTAGAAGAAACACTTTCCGCCTCCCCCATTAAAAATGTAGTCCTCCCCCACCCACCCACCCACCACCCCCAGGCCGAAATAGAATTTATATTGAAAATTTATACTTATACCAGTGTCCGCCTCCAGAGTTTCTTCCGGGCATCTCCTCGTAGAACCCCTACCGCCGACGAAGAAAGTCTACCGCCCCCCCCCCCCCCCACGAAAGAAATGGAATTTATATAGAAATTATATACTTTTACCAGTCTCCGCCCCCCCCCCCCCAAATGTTGCCCCCCCCCCCCCCCCCCCCCCGAGAAAAAAGTCTGGAAGTAACACTGTCCGCCTCCCACATTAAAAATGTAGTCTCCTCCCCCCCCCCCCCCAAAAAAATGATTAAAGTGTCCAAACCCCCCCCCCCCCCCCCCTACCCGAGAGCGTCTGAAAGAGATACTGATTCTTGAGCTTCAAATGTTTCTAAATGTTAGAGATTTGGCGTGTCTGGGTTTCGGTGAGCTAAGTTTGAAATTGTCTTTAATAGATGGATTGTTTCATGGGCAGAGGAGCGGGGACTTCGGAGTTTTTAAAAAGACAATTTGTCAGGGGTTAATATGTGTTTTTTTTTGGAAGGGAGGGTGGGGGGGGGGGGGGGGAGTGGGGAGTCACAGATCTCGGGCAGCGTAGTTTCTATGAATCGGAATTTTAAGGTTAGGCAGATATTGCGGGGCGACGTGCAGGTGATGTCACGGTTGTGGGATAGTTAACTATGTGTGTGTGTGTATGTGTCTGTGTGTGTGTCTGTGTGTGTGTGTGTGTATGTGTGTGCGTATGTGTGTGTGTGTCTGTGTGTGTGTCTGTGTGTATGGTGTGTGTGTGTCTCTGTGTGTGTATGTGTGTATGTGTGTGTATGTGTGTGTGTCTGTGTGTGTGTGAATGTGTCTGTCTGTGTGTGTGTCTATGTGTGTCTGTCTGTGTGTGTGTCTATGTGTGTCTGTCTGTGTGTGTGTCTATGTGTGTGTGTCTGTGTGTGTGTCTATGTGTGTGTGTCTATGTGTGTGTGTCTGTGTCTGTGTGCGTCTGTGTCTGTGTGTGTCTGTGTGGTGTGTGTGTGTAGACACGAGTTAAAGAAGTCTTTACTTCACGGGTCGCGGTTTTCTATAAAGTGTATTTCTTTTAGAGAAGGGGAGAGAGGTAGAAGAGGGGGAGGGGGCGGGGGTAAGAAAATCCAAAATACAGTTTTTCCAATTAAAATATATATCCGTTTGAAACAATAAAACCACATAAAATTTAACAAAAGCGAACATTTTACCTAAAAAAAAAATAACACGACAGAAATACAAAAAATAATATAAACTTTTTAAAACATTCGTTTTTCTTTTTTAAACTCAGAACTATCTTTCGTCATTTGGATATTACCACCACAAAGACCAGAACACAAACACACATTCTGTAAGTGACAAAGGGAGTAAACTCGATGAACCCCGGGCAGATAACCCACCAAAAGTTATCCACACGGACGAGGAAAGGCGGCACGCTTTACGGTAATTTAGAATTTAGTTTTAACTTTGATTAATACATTCATTAATTAATATTCATTAATTTTTCCACGATGTGATCGGGTGGTAGGGTATACGCTAACTAAACCCGCAGTTCTGGAGTTCGGTTGCATGTTGTCAGGCAGGTAGGGTACCTGTCATTAACCAGTTAACTTTAGGTGGGGTACCCCATCGTATGCACGGTCCAAGAAACAGATCAAATAAATTTGAACTGGTTCATGTTTTATAAATGTAGGGTAAAAAAATTATAGTTCCCTTTTCGAATCTGACGGTACATAGGGCAAATGAAGTAGAGCTCACCTGTTTCTGTAACCTTGGCTTATTAAAAGATAGTGTGGCTAGCACTATGCCCAGCCGCCTTTACTTTCCTTAAATTGAGTTAATTAAGTACCTATTAGAGCTGGGTATACTAAGTGAAGTTCTAGTGACTTAAATCCGGATTCGAACTTGAGATTTTCGCAGTCTACCGCTATACCGCTAGGCCACGAAGTCCCATATAACTGTCAGGTATGAAATGGTATTTCACTGACAGATGATGTGCCCATTATCTGCCACCCCTCACTTATCCCTGCATACCCCAATCTATGCTGGATACTTTTGAGTACTCAGGTTTCGATCCAGGATCTAATGGGTTAACAACGTCTAACTCCTCTACTAGACCACCTCGTCAGTGGCGTAGCGAGGTCGGGTATCACCCGGTGCGGCACCTAATGGTGTCACCCCCCCACGTAACAAAAATTATATATATATATATATATATATATATATATATATATATATATATATATATATATATATATATATATATATATATATATATATATATATATATATATATATATATATATTTACTTGTAAGTATATGTATACTTGATGTAATTAATTCTTTTACCCTTCCCCCCACCACCCCGCGATTCTCAACCAAACCGTTTTCCTCAGGCATATTTTGCAACGTTGAGTTGATGTAACTCCCCCCCCCCCCCCGGTCACCCGACGGTGATTGCTTTAAACTGTGCTCAGATAATACTAACGATTTGTATCTATATTTGGTTATAAATACAGCTGGATGTAGCATGCTTTCTCTATCATTAACAGGTGTACGTCATGGTGTTAACCCCCCCCCCCCCCCCCCCCCCCCCACCCCTCTCTATTACCAACCGTGTCGGACTATTTAATTCACTCAAATTAATCATTAAATTACGTGAAATTATCATTTTTCTGTATTTTTATTGATATCTTTTGCCTTGATGTCAACCCCCTACATGATGTCACCCGGTGCGGTCCGCACCCCCCCCCCCCCTTACTACGCCTCTGCACCTCGCCCATATAAATAAGAAGTAAATTTTCGACCCAGTTTCAATCCAGGATCTACTGGGTTAACAACCTCTAACTCATCTACTAGACCACGCCGTACAAGCAAATGAGAAGTAAATTAGAGATCATCTCTGACTAACTTCTACATTAGAGCGCTCAAACTTCCCAGTGTCATTTCAAACACTTCACTTTATTCATAACACATTTCCACGAAAACACACGCTTTGTCAAGAGGGACACACAGAAAGTAAAATATTTAAAAACTCTAACCAGGAACTCACAGGCCACGCGGCCACGATTCAAATACAATAAAAACGTGACGGTAATTTTAAATTACATTCATCTGTTTCCTGTGATCAGAAAAAAATGCTGATACTGTTGACAAAGTAAACAAAGAACGATAGGTGGGACGAGGGCGGGGAGGGAGAGGGAGAGAGGGTGTTTAAACTACATTCGTTCAACAAATGTTTTACATGCTTACATGTTTTTGTGAGTCGCAAGACTAAGTCAACATACAAAATAAAATAAAAAGTAGAGGTAGTTGGCTACAAAATGCATTTAAAGCAAATTTCCGATAAAATTGTGTCGTTTTAAAAGAGTGCTGTTTAATGGTGTTGTCTTTGTTAACAATACATCCTGATTAACTGTATGCGCTTTTCACTTCATCATAACAAATCACTGTTTAATGGTGTTGTCTTTGTTAACAATACTTTCTGTTGATTGTATACACTTTATAAGAACAAATAAGTGTTTACTTGTGCTGTCTTTGTTAAAAATACTTTAAGCTTTATTGTATATAGATATCACCAAAACAACTAAGTGTATACTTGTTTTATCTTTGTTAACAATACTTCCTGTTTGATCGTACAGATATCACCAAAACAACTAAGTATAGGCCTACTTGTTTTATCTTTGTTAACAATACTTCATGCATGTTTGTATAGATATCACCAAAACAACTAAGTATATAGGCCTACTTGTTTTTATCTTTGTTAACATTACTTCATGTTTGATCGTACAGATATCCCCAAAACAACTAAGTATACACTTGTTTTATCTTTGTCAACAATACTTCATGCCTGATTAGTGTCATCGCCAGGTTATTTAGCGCCCTAGGCTAAACTTATTAAAAGCGCCCCCCCCCCCCCCCCCCAGCAATATTTTTCGAGCCCCTGTATTATCAGAGGCGTAGCGACCCTTCCCGGTGCCCCGGGGACAAACTTTCGATTTGCACCCCCACCCTTAAACTTTCAATTTATTTTTCCAACCCATTTTGGCGCCCCCTTAAGGACAGCGCCCTATGCGGCCGCCTAGTTCACCTTATAGGTAGCACCGGCCCTGTGCATGATTGTATAGATATCACAAAAAACCAAATGTAACTGTTAACCAATGATGTATTTGCAGACGACTTCAAGCTTTCTACAACCTCCCCCTGACCGGGGTGTATGACGCCGCCACCCAAAATTTGATGAAGGGGGCGAGGTGTGGGCGGGAGGACGTGAAAGACGATGAAGATGTGGAACAATTGAAACAGGACGGCAAAACAAGGAGGAAGCGCTACGCTGTTGCCAGATATGCAGGTATTGTTTAGCAGTCATTGTGTGTGTGTGGGGCGGGGGGGGGGGGGGGAAGGGGCAGAGGTGTAGTTAAGGGGGGCGGGAGGTCAGAAGCATAGCTAGGGGGTGGCGGGGGGGGGGGGTACATCCATGACATCACGTTTCTTGACGAGTTTTTACCTCTTCCCCACCCCCCCCCCTTAAATGATATCACACATCAGCTTACCAAACCCCCTAATAATTATAACAAATTTTGCAAACAAATCATTAGAATATTTGTTGCGTTTAGAAGCTTTGCAGATAAAGAAAATATAAAATGGTATGATTATTGACCTAGGTAAAAAAAAAAAAAAAATATATTTTCTACCAGAGGCGTAGCGACCCTTCCCGGCGCCCGGGGACAAATTTTTCGATTTGCACCCCCCACCCCCTCAAGATTTCGATTTGCACCCCCCTCTAACTTTCGATTTGCACCCACCCCCCACTCAAGATTTTGATTTGCACCCCCCCCCCACCCTCAAGATTTCGATTTGCACCCCCCTCAAACTTTCAATTTGCATCCCCCTCAACCTTTCAATTTATTTTACCAACCCAATTTGGCGCCCCCTAAGGTCGGCGCCCGGTGACATATGTCGTCCCACCGCCCCCCCCCCCCCCTCGCTACGCTACTGTTTTCTATCCATTGAGTTAGAATTAAAGCTGGCTTGTTTTGGTCTTGGTTTAATCTACGTACATGTAGGGTATTTGATAGTACGTTCTTAGAGCTCACTTAGTTTAGTAATGGTTGTTAGCTCAATACTGAAGCATATCTACATCCAGTGGCGTAGCGAGGTCGGGTGTCACCCGGTGCAGCACTTAATGGTGTCAACCCCCAGAAGCGTAGTGATCCTTCCCGGGGACAAACTTTCAAATTTTCGATTAGCACCCCTCCCCCCTCAAACTTTCAATTTGCACCCTCCCCCCCCCCCCACCTCAAGTTTTTCTCTATATATTTTGCTATTTTTTGCCTTGGTGTCACCCCCCCTAAATGGTATAACCCGGTCGGTCCGCCCCCCCCCCTCGCTACGCCTCTGCCTACATCTACTGTTAAGTAAAGTAACCTTTCGAACCTGACGGTCGATTTGGGCAAGTGAAGTAGAGTTCACCTGTTTCTGTGACCTCGGGTTATAAACGGATAGTGTGGTCATTATTATGCTAAGCCGCGTTTACTTTCCCCAGCGTGAGTTCGGTACTCATCAGCGCTCTACCTTAAAACCATGATTTTGTTTTAAAAAAAAAAAACGCCACAATAGGGGTCGTCCATAAATGACGTCACACTTGTTGGGGGGGGGGGGGGGGATGGGTGGTCCATAATTTGTGACGGTGTGTGATGAGGGGGAGGGGGGGGGGGGTCAGACGGTGCGACGTCACACTTTTGCATTATAAAAAAGCACGTTAGAAAACATAATTTTTGTCGCTATTTCGCGTTTTAGAAAACTGTTTTAATAAATTGTAACAGGAATTGATTAAAATACTCTATTTCGACAGAGTTCAGACAAGATTTGGAAAAATATCGATGTTTTAAGAAAAATTCTACTGCAATTTTGAGGGGGTGGGGGGGGGGGGGGTGGGTTGTAGGCTGAGATGTGACGTCATTTTAGGGGGAGGGGTCTGGCTTTTTGTGACGATGTGTGACGGAGGGGAGGGAGGGGGGAGGTAAAAATCGTCAAATGACCCCTTATTCTGTCTTCAGATGATACCATTGCTAAATGGAAAGCAGATAAGTTAACATGGAGAATCACAGCCCCTTCTAAACAAATCTCTACAAGTCAACAAAGGTAAGCAGGTTTTTTTTTCTAATTAATGAGTGTCACTAATTAAGATAAGATCACTACTCAACATGTGACCGATAACCTTTGACCTAGTTAACGTAGAGGATGATGGGAAGGACTGGACCTCTTTTGCGTCTGAGTTTGTTTTGGTTTCGTCATGCGCGGTTGGACGATTTTGATTAGACACAATACGCTCTTTATGTATGCAGTGGTATATTACTCTGTGTGGTATCTTATGGGAAAATCTCTGGGCTTAGAATATTGGATGAGGAGGGAGGGGGGAGAGGGAGGGGCTTTGGCTTGCACTCGCTGGGTGCTTGAGGCAAACGACAAAGTCCAACGCGACGTAACCTGGATTTTTTTTTTTGCGCAGTCATTCAGTGCGAATTTAGTACGCAGCGCAGTTGTCGAGCTAAGTTCAATGTAAACACGAGCACGCACACTCGCACACAATCACGACACTTGTATACACATTTATATACACACAATTTAATAGGTATTCGATACTTATTGCTATGTAAGTGTACAAATAAATAAAAACATATATATATATATATATATATATATATATATATATATATATATATATATATATATATATATATATATATATATATATATAGTGTATATATGCAACATACATACGTGTATAGCAATATATATATATATATATATTTATACATATATATACATTTATATATGTATATATATATATATATATATATATATATATATATATATATATATATATATATGCATCACAGGAAACAAATGTTGCAAAAATTAATAAAAATTAATATGGTTAAACTACATGTACGATGGTCTAATCTAATTCAAAATGTCTTCTCACAGAGATATCTTCAGACGGGCGATTGCTGTGTGGGGTAATGTGGTTCCGGTCAGGTTTGAGGAAGACAGGGGTACCGGAGAGCCGGATATCGACGTCAGATTTGTCAGGCGGCAGCACGGACCTTCGGACGATCCGGTCTTCGATGGTTCCAGTAAGTTTGGTTATCAGGTTGAACACTCTCCCCCCCCCCCCCCCCCAAATATTTTATCTCTTCCGACTTACCTCCCCATCCACACTCAACGTCCTCTCCATTTCTGTCTTCTCACTTCCAACCTCACTACCGCTAAATTTAGTCCTCTTATTTCAATCGTCTAATGCCATTCATCTAATTTTAATTGTCTATTTTAATCGTCTAATTTAATTCGTCTAATTCATTCATCTAATTCAACCGTCTAATTTCAATCGTCTAATTCAAACTTCTAATTTTTTAATAATCTAATATCAATAGTCTTATTCAATTGTTTGATTTCAATTCTCTAATTTCAATCGTCTTATCTCAATCGTCTAATTTCAGTCGTCTAATTTTAATCATCTAATTTCAATCCTGTAATAAAGAATCTAATTTTAACCGTTTAATTTCAATCGTCTAATTTCAACAATCTATTTTCAATCCTTAATTTCAATCCTAATTTTAATCGCCTCATTTCAATCAACTAATTCCGTTAATTTAATTTTAATTGTCGATTTCAATCGTCTAATATAAAATCGTCTAACTTCAATCATTTAGTTTCAATCCTCTAATTTCATTCCTAATTTCAATCGTCTAATTCCATTAAACTAATTTTAATGGTCTATTCTAATCGTCTAACTTAAAATGGTCTAGTTTCAATCCCCTAATCTCAAACCCCTAATCTCAATCCCCTAATCTCAATCCCCTAATCTCAATCCCCTAATCTCAATCCCCTAATCTCAATCCCCTAATCTCAATCCCCTAATCTCAATCCCCTAATCTCAACCCCTTAATCTCAATCCCCTAATCTCAATCCCCTAATCTCAATCCCCTAATCTCAATCCCCTAATCTCAATCCCCTAACCTCAATCCCCTAATCTCAATCCCCTAATCTCAATCCCCTAACCCCAACCCCCTATCTATTTTTAGACACCGACCGGGCCAATGTCCTTGCTCACGCCTGGGGCCCTCACGTGCAGCCCAAGGGCCTGAACGGTGACGTCCACTTCGATGAGGACGACACGTGGTCCAACACGGACACCCTGCTGGGCGTGGCCGTGCACGAGCTGGGCCACACCATGGGGCTGCTGCACTCGTCGGACAGCTCGTCCATCATGTACCCCGTGTACAGGGACTCGACGGTTCTCACGAGAGATGATCTGGATGGCATCAACGCCATCTACAGTAAGTCGGTTTGTCGCTTTGTCGGTTTGTGAGATATAGCTATTAATATTATCTACAGTAAGTCGGTTTGTCGTTTGTGATATAGCTATTAATATTATCTACAGTTAGTCGGTTTGTGGTACACGCATGTCGATGTCTTCAACAGTAAGTCGGTTTGTCGGTTTGTGGTACACGAATGTCGATGTTTTCTACAGTAAGTCGGTTTGTCGGTTTGTCGGTTTGTGATATATGCATGCGAATGTTTTCTACAGTAAGTCGGTTTGTCGGTTTGTAGGTTTGTGGTACACGCATGTCGATGTCTTCAACAGTAAGTCGGTTTGTCGGTTTGTGGTACACGAATGTCGATGTTTTCTACAGTAAGTCGGTTTGTCGGTTTGTCGGTTTGTGATATATGCATGCGAATGTTTTCTACAGTAAGTCGGTTTGTCGGTTTGTAGGTTTGTGGTATACGCATGTCGATGTCTTCAACAGTAAGTCGGTTTGTCGGTTTGTGGTACACGAATGTCGATGTTTTCTACAGTAAGTCGGTTTGTCGGTTTGTCGGTTTGTGATATATGCATGCGAATGTTTTCTACAGTAAGTCGGTTTGTCGGTTTGTGAGATACAGCTATTAATGTTTTCTACAGTAAGTCGGTTTGTCGGTTTGTCGGTTTGTGAGATACAGCTATTAATGTTTTCTACAGTAAGTCGGTTTGTCGGTTTGTCGGTTTGTGAGATACAGCTATTAATGTTTTCTACAGTAAGTCGGTTTGTCGGTTTGTGAGATACAGCTATTAATGTTTTCTACAGTAAGTCGGTTTGTCGGTTTGTCGGTTTGTGAGATACAGCTATTAATGTTTTCTACAGTAAGTCGGTTTGTCGGTTTGTGAGATACAGCTATTAATGTTTTCTACAGTAAGTCGGTTTGTCGGTTTGTGGTATATAGATATCGATGCTATCTACAATACGTCGGTTTGTCGGTTTGTGGTACACGCATGTCAATGTTTTCTACAGTAAGTCGGTTTGTCGGTTTGTGAGATACAGCTATTAATGTTTTCTACAGTAAGTCGGTTTGTCGGTTTGTGGTATATAGATATCGATGCTATCTACAATACGTCGATTTGTCGGTTTGTGGGATATAGCTATTAATGTTATCTACAGTAAGTCGGTTTGTCGGTTTGTGGTATACGCATGTCAATAATATCTATGGAAAATGTTTTTTTTTTTAAAAGGGGGAAGTATCACCTTGACAACGGAAAACTTACGAAAAAAATTCGCCAAACAAAACCTGTCATGCATTTACCCATACATTTTTTACCATAGTTATTATGATTCATCAGCTATAAAATAGCATAAAATTGAAGGCCTATGTATGATTAAAAAAAAATCTGACCATAATAAGATAATACGCATTAAAAAATTTAAAAAATTCAAATTGCATTAGAACCGTATGGTTGTTGTTCCGACCATAAATAATACTATTAAAAAACTTTATACCAAATTTCAAATACCTTGGTTAATGTGTTAATAAATTGTGAATTTAAAAAAAATGTTGCTTCTTTTAGTTCTACGTACACAGTTTTCCAACTTACAAATAGATCTTTCTTAACGTCATCACGATGCTACTGACAGTATTAATTGTCTGAATTAGGGAATCCCTTTGTGATGAAAATTGAAATTTATAGAATTTTTTTTTTTAATACTTTTATTTGCAATTTAAAACAAGTACAACATCAAATTCTTTACATAATTTCGAACATCAAATGAAAACGAAAGGTTTTGCAAATGTACATAATATTTACATGATGTCATGTATGTGATTTTACAAAATTGAAAGGCATAACAGTAAAGGGGGTGAAGGTCAAATGCTAGTGACAGGAGTCCGGGTGAGAAGTGGAGGGGAAATTGTTCAAAGATATAGAATTTTTTTAAACTATTAAAAAAAAAGAGAAGCAAAAACTAAAATTCCAGTGCTGTTATAATTCTATATGCCAAATGTGAAGTTAATTGACTAATGGTTGAACATTTTGTTTACAAAAGAGTAACAAATATGCAAAGAAATAATTATTTCTTTTTAAATATTTTTCTTTATACATACTTACGCTGACAATTATATGCTGCATTAAAGCTAATGACACGTAATTACTGCTATAAAAATTTGACAGCTGTAGGCCTCATAGTATTTTTAAACGATTTTTTTGTTTCTCTCCCTTAGTCTGGGTTGATACTGCCCCCTTAAAGAAGTCTACATTAGTTTGTAGTTTCGTATATAGAAATTGTGTGTCGGCGTGGTCGGAACTCTCCATTAGTTTGTAGTTTGGTATATAGAAATGGTGGGTCGGCGTGGTCGGGTCGGTATAGCTCACAGTGGCTAAACCGAAAAGTTCCGAGTTTGAACCTCCGGGTAGATATGGCTTCACAGCCAAGGACAACAACTCACCCAGGGGAGAAAACTCCAAAATCAAACAACTAATGCTAACCCGGCATTACTAGGTCACCGGCCAGGGTGCATGAGTTCCTAGATGAACTTTAACGGCCACGTGTTGTGACCAAGGCGAGCCACCAAGATGGAGGCATCCGGATGTGGTTAGGCTGTCAAGAGGGGTGGGCACCGCCATGCGATACTTATTCTCAGACACACCATTCTGTGGTGCCCTAACGACCCTATCAAGATTTAAGGGATGATTTAGATTTAGACTTTTAGATATAGAAATGGATATTATCTTCAGTAAGTGGGATTTTAGCCCATAGATGTCAATGTTATCTGAAGTATGTAGGGGTTTTTTTTTTGGTACATAGAAATCAATGGTTTTTATAAAAACTAAATTTTTTTTCAACATTTTTTTTTCTTTACAGAGTCCTGGCCAGAATCCAATCGCCCAACTACAAGGTACCCCATTTCTCATAGAGGACAGTGGACACCGGACTCACGATACCGGACCGACAGACCGGAAACACGATACCGGACCGACAGGCCGGACCCCCGCTACAGGCCGGAAAGACCGGACATAGGACACCGGACCGACAGACCGGACCCACGCTACAGGCCGGAAAGACCGGACCTAGGACACCGGACTGAAAGACCGGACGCACGCTACAGACCACAAAGACCGGACCCACCACACAGAACAGATTTACCTGGGTAGGTCTTAATGACGGTGACAATGCGGAACGGAAAAGTGCGCATTAAAAAAGTGCGCAATGGCATTTTATTTTTTATTTTCTTAAATCGGGCATTTATAGATATTATCAAAATATGTTAACATGTAAATTGTAGCATAAAAAAAAACTTTCCCACAAAATTGGACACAAATAAAGAATACTTGTTTTTTTTTTTGCGCATGTTTCTGTTTGCGCAGTTTTCCTTTGCGCAATATTCCTGTTTTCGCACTTTTCTGGGAACCCTTAATGACAGATTCAAACGACAGAAATGACAATAGTATATTAGCATGTTAGCATAAGTATAAACAGTCATAGTGGTATACACAAGCAAAATCTCATCTTCAAAATCTTGACTTTTTCAAACTTTTCATATGTTGCCTTAGCACTTAAACCTGTCCTACACCTTGAACTTATGATCTAACATCTACCCCCCCCCTCTCTCCCCCTCGCAGACGACCATTCTTCACGGTCAAGCCAGAGTGGGCCGTCACACCAGCCACGACAACCCCACAGGCCTTCTGCCAGGAACTTGACGTCAGCGCCGTGTTTGAAGGTGAGCAGACAATACGGTAACTTAAAAACTCGCTGGGTCACTTTTTTTCTCAAAAAACGAAACAATTAAAAAAGACAACTTGTTTTTTTTTTTTTTAAATTAAATTGACATTTTGTTGAGCTGTGATTTAACCCAGAACTTAAGTTAAAACGTAACTAAAATCTTTGCTTTCACTATTCACATGAATTTGTGGGTACGGCTAATCGGTGAAAACTACACATAAAATTTAAAAAAAAACTCCAATTATTAAACGAATTAAGCACTGGCCTACTTATACTGCTATCATTAACAGCAACTGTACATACTTTTTTTTTAATTTTATTCTGATCAACTCGAATGGTCGAAGCAATTTTTAAAAATCATTATTTAGGTCTTTTTTAGTTTTTTTCTATAGTACAGCTAATTGTTTTCTCAAAGAATCATCATCTTATCTGCTCCCGGTTTTGCCCATGACATAAGGGGTAGATGAAGTAGAGTTCATCTGTTTCAATGACCTTGGCATGCAAGGTGTTAATTTGGTCAGCATTATTCCCGGCCGCCTTTGTTTCTTGAACTTGAGCTTGTTACCCATCAGAGCTGGGTGGACTCGGGGACGTTCTACTGATTGAACCGGGATTCAAACTCGAGATTTTCGGTTTAGCAGTCTAGCGCTTTACCGCTAGGCCACACCGACTCCGTTTCTTAAAGAATAGCTGCATGAGATTATTGAATTCAATAAATATATCTTTACACCCAATCAATTAGGTATTAATTAATTAATGTAATTAAATTATGCCATTGTTCCCAGACCCAACGTCCAACAGCCGAGGGAACTACATGGCTATCACTGGGGAGAACGTTCACCATCTCGCACCAACTGGTGCCCTGCTGCGCACCACGAAACTCACTTCCGTGTACCCGGAACTTCCCGACAACATCGACATCGCCTTTTCCGTCAGAGAGACGGCTCAGCTATTCATTATCAAAGGTAAATGGTCAGCTTAGTTTCAGCATAATGGGGGTGGGGGGGGGGGGGGTGTCCAAGTTCTTATAATTAAAAAATAAATGTTAATTTTAACTTTTTTTGGGGTGGAGGTGGGGGTGGGGGGGCTTTAAAATTGAATGGGTAGAAACCTTTATTTACTCCCCACCCCACCCCCACCCGCAAACTGCCACACCGTCACAATCCTCTCACCCTCTAAAATGAAATGACAAATTCTAATCCCCCCCTCCCTCCGTCGTTCGTGATAGACACCTCCCCTCCCCCTCCCACCTCAATCATATCTGAGATGATTACGTTTAACCCTAACCCTGGCTCCAACCCTGGCCCTAACCCTAGCCCTAACCCTGGCCCCAACCCTTGCCTAACCCTGGCCCAAACCCTTGCCTAACCCTGGCCCCAACCCTTGCCTAACCCTGACCCTAACCCTAACACTAATCCTGGCCCTAACTCTAACCCTTACCCTGGCACTAACTCTTAGTCAATTGTTGACAATATTCATGACCCTTACCCTGTTCCATAACGACCCTAAAACAGCTTTACCATACACAAATGAAACTAAAACCTAAATGTTGACGTCATTTCCTCCGCAGGCAAGCAGATATGGGCCTACAGAAATAACCAATTAAAAAGCGGGTATCCCCGTTCTTTAGACGGATACAGGTTTCCGGAAACACCAAGATTCGCTTTATCGTACACAGAAAGCAATGGACGCTTAAGAACTCTTTTGTTCGGGGTAACTATTTTTAAAAAAATCATTTTCATAGTGTTTTTTTTTAATGAAGGGATAATAATTAATACGGTCAGCACTATGATCAGCTGCCTTTACTTTCCTTAATGTAAGTTAGGTAGTTATCCGAGCTGGGTGGACTCACTGACGTTCCACTGACTTGATTCGAACTCGAGACTTTTTGGTTAGTAGTCTGGCGCTCTACCGCTAGACCACCCCGTCCTATATTATACCGCATGATGTCGTAACATTAATCAAAGGCTAATTAAGCTTTAATTATGTGTCCCTCCACAGCAAACTTACTTCTGGGACTTCCGAACCGACAGAGAAGAGGCGTATCCCGTCAGTCCACAGCCAATAGCCAACAATGTGTATCGAACGCTCCCGCGTGACGTCATGTTTACCACCAAATGGACTGACGACAATGTGTATGTCGTCACTAGCAACAGGTGGGGGTTGGGCGGTTTCTGTCTGTTTCGTTGTAGAGTCGGGCTGTTTCTGTCTGTTTCGTTTACAGTTGGGCTGTTTCTGTCTGTTTCGTTGTGAAATTGTACTATTTCTGTCTGTTTCAATGTGGAGTCTCGCTGTTTTTGTCTGTTTTGTTTAGAGTTGGTTTGTTTCTGTCGGTTTCGTTTACAAATGGGCTGTTTCTGTCTGTTTCGTTGTAAAGTTGGGTTGTTTCTATCTGTTTCGTTGTAAAGTTGGGTTGTTTCTATCTGTTTCGTTGTGGAATTGGACTATTTCTGTCTGTTTCGGTGTGGAGTCTCGCTGTTTTTGTCTGTTTAGATGTGGCAATTTCTGTCAATTTCGTTTGGAGTTGAGCTTTTTTTGTCCGTTTCATTTAAAATTTAGGCGGTTTCTGTCTACTTCGTTGTGGAGTCTCGCTGTTTCTGTCTGTTTCGCTGTAGATGTGTTGTTTTTGACCACTTTGTTTAGAGTTATGGCTGTTTCTGTCTACTTCGCTGAGAGTTGAACTGTTTATTTCCATTTCTTTGTTTCATCTGCTTCAACCTATCACTTCTCTAAAGTACTGGTGCATTGGTTAGAAAGCCAACAACACAGCTAGATTGAACACAAATAGTAGTAGAATTTATATAACTTAAATCTGATTGATGTCCACATAACACAACAGGGGACGCTACTTTAATAAAGTGAGAGTAAATGACTGACATAGTTAGCTCCCTTGTATATTTTGACAAACAACTCTAACCAAATGTTACGATGACGACACTGGGTAATTCGTAACTAACAATATCTAACGGCATGTATTTAGTATAAAATGTTTGTAATGGGACGTGCAATTGCCAAAAAACTCTGGTCCTTAAGCTTCTAACCTAAATCCTAAACATGCGGGTTAATTACGGCTTCTAATACCATGTGATTTTTCTTCTTTCCAGCTACTTTATTTTCGACCCGCGGCAAGGGAAGATAACTCATGAAAAACCGTTCGCTGGTAAGCCAGCGTGGTTGCAGTCCTTGTGTAACAGTGGACATGGGTAAGTCAAAATTTTAAATTAAAAAAAAAAGTAAGCCTCAAAATTCATTGATAAATCAGTTCCCGATTAGTGGCTCATGCTATCCGTAGCTATGTATACAATCGTAGTAATTAAATACAGTTTTTTTTAAAATATGTTGTTAACGATAAGAAAAGTTAGCATTTTATATACTGGATGGTAACTTACTTGACTTCATTCTCTTAACTCCTTGTGGAGCACAGGGCCTCAACCATAGCTGAACATTAGCTATTATTTAGGGATCCTGTACTTCACCGGTAACACAAAATCACTTTAGGACACCCCCCCCCTCCCCTCCATAAAATACACAATAATTACAAGACCAAAACTTTGTACTTTAAAAGTTTTAGGATATTTACTACTATGAAGTTGAACCGCACAAAGTTAAAAAAAATGCGAATAAAATAATTCTAAATATAGATGAAAAGTTTAAATTGAAGCAAAATTTTCACAAATAGGTGATGTCTACTACTTTCATTTTAATAGTAGACATACACATTTAGCGAAAATAAAAAAATGTAAACACATTTAAAGGTAATGTTATATGACATAGCTTTATACCCCCCCTTACCTTAGTAAAAGACAATAAAATTACAGTCGATTAACTGCGTGTGTTCTCAGCCTTCTGTCCAAGGGGTTGGTGGGGGGGGGGGGAGAGGGGGGGGGGGGGGGGGGGGGGCTTGGCACGTCCACCGACCCCCGGACGAATTAGAAAAAAATGTGATTTGTAATTTTGTAATTGCAAAAACATACTTTAATCAGTGATCGCACACTTAAGAATTGTATGTGTCCTCCCGGAGAATAGCATTTTGTTTTGAAAGAAATCTTGGTTAATCTATGAGCACGATGTTAACGTTGCGCACGATCTCTTGTCTTAACAGCAGCTGTAGAAAAAATACGTTTAGATACGTTTTTTCTTAAAGGAAAAAAATAGTGTATGATTTAGATAATAATACTTATATGAAATAAAACGATAATTATACGAATAAAACACAACTTTTTTTCCCTTGAACAGATTGTCAACGACAGGCGTGCTAGTTCTCTTGATTTCCTTGCTAGCGTTCTTTACCTCAAGTCAAGTCAATGGCTGATAAAGACTATATGTTGTATTGATCGATTGAACAGTGTAAATCGGAAGCAAATTTCGTATTGTGCCAACTTGGTGTTTGGATTTTCACACGGTGTTGTGAACACATAACTCAAAGTTCACTGTGGCGTCATGGTCCAGAACTTTGAACTCAGTTCACAAAAGCACTTGTGTATAATTAACTTGCTCAAAACTCATAACGTCCCTTGTTTTTATTATGACGTCATTTATTGTCGTAAAGACGTCACTTGTTTTCTAAATGGCGTAACTCGGCTTACTTTATGCTAAAAAAAAAACAAGTATCCAGATTTTTTTGCTCCTACCTGCCAAGAAGCATTTCCCTTTGCAATATTAAAGTTGCGATTTTTAACAATGAACTATAGAGGGTTAACAATATTCAGCAATGCTAATATTTTTAATAGGCTACTATTATGTCACAGTAATTAAACTATAAAAAGATATTAATATTCCATAATCATTTATAGCAGGCTAGTAGTATTCTACAATCATTGAACCATTGTAGGCTTTCTATATTCCACAATCATTAAATTATATATGGCTATCGATAATCCACAATCATTGAACCACTGTAGGCTACAACTATTCCACAATCATTTAAACACATTAGACTATTGCAATCCTACAAATCATGTATTGTAACCACAACATGCTACCAATAATCCACAATATTCATCCCATTTAACCCAATCACCATATTTCACAAACATTAACTATAGTAGACTATCAATTTTCATATTGCAACCATTGATATCTATTCAGATATAACCGCAGTATATTAGCTAATTACTTTTGTATGTAAGACCTTTTGGGTAACATTCCAATAGTTCCAACAGATTAGATATTATGTTTGTTTTTTTTTAATGCTGAAAATTTGCTGATATTCTTTGTATGTAACTTATGCATTCCTGACAATTAATCTGTGATACATGATATATTATGTCCATTCCAATTACCGTAAACATGCTCAAAGGCATTATTTCTGTAAAAAAGATTTATATATTAATTTATTGTTGTACGATTGCATGAGATATATCTAATATATATATATATATATATATATATATATATATATATATATATATATATATATATATATATATATATATATATATATATATACATTTCTTAGCTATTTATGAACATGACCACCTATTCTCATCTCATATGATTGCATGGATTATAATTGTTATATTTCGTGGGTAAATTATGAATATATTCATTAGCAAATATTATATAGTTTATATAGCTCATATATCAAAAGCAAGGTATCTGTTTTTCAATACATCGATACCTTGCTAGCACATAGCCTATATTATGTTTTATCTTAATTATGTATTCTTATGATTCAGGTTAGTTTTCGCAAACGAAGTCGCATGCGGTTCTTGTATAAATAAAAGTGTCTATGAATTGATAAGAACAACTTAGTGTGGGTGTTTCTGTGTACGCGTGTTTGTATGAGTGTATGTGTGGGTGTCATTTCATATCATCTATTTGTATATCTAATATAATTAATAGCCTAGACGTATATCTATTTCATAGGGCTGTATATTACTTTGACATTCCTGTTCTTAAAATAGCTCAATTTATGTTGTTTTGTTAGCGTATATCAGTGAGTAGATTACATGGACCCCAACGTGTCTATCCAGTGTTGTTTGGTTTACACATTTGTTTAAGTCGATGCTGACTGATATAATTATTTTAACACATTCTCAGATGTATTTTATACTGCTCAACTACCACCAGCTAATGTATGCAAAATTACTTACTGGAATAATAAATAATATTTAAACAAAAAGCAGATTGAGTGTTATATTTGTTTTCCTTTTTGTTATGGTTATCGAGACGTCTTTTATAATTATTTAAACACAAAAAAATATTTTTAAAAACTTATAAAAATGCACTTTTAAATGCTCTGAAATATTCAAATATATATTTTTGGAACAATATTAGATCTACATGTTATTTTATTCTAGGTATTGTATTATTTGTTGCATCCTTTAGTTAACATTTTTAGGTTCTTTCAAAGAAAAGGAAGGTAACTTATTTGTTGATACTTATTTAAAAGTTGCAGTGTCACTTCCAGAGTCGTAGCGAGGGCGGGGCGGGGGTGCGGGCCGCACCGGGTACACCGTTTACGGGGGTGACACCAAGCCAAAAAATTGCAAAATTTACATAAGAAAAAGAAGAAATTTATATAAGAAAAATGATTTTTTCGCCAGTTCAATTAATAATTAATTAAAGTTAAGTAGTCTTTTAAGTATAAATAAACAATTATTACAATGGGGTGGGGGTGACACCAAGACGTAAACGAGCTAACTGTAGAGAAAACAATGCTATTTCCAAATGTATTATTAACAAACTATAAATAAACATCGTTACCATTAACTATTAAGTATGCGGTGATTAAAGCTTATACATATACATGTAAGCGTATTCGGCAAATATTTAAATTATAGACATACAGATCCATAGGGAAGATGAAGTAGAGTTCACCTGTTTCTTTGTTCTCGGCTTATGAAGGGATGGTATGGTCAGCCGCTTTTACTTTCTAAAATTACTCAGGTACCCATTACAGCTGGGTGGACTCAATGACGTCTTACTGCCCCGAATACGGATCGAGATCCGAACTCGAGATCTCTGGTGGTAGTAACCGCTCTACCACTCGACCACGCCACCCTTTCTTAAAGCAACACTATAATGTCATAAACAGAGTTACTTCCAGACATCTCTTCGGGGGGGGGGGGGCGGTCCGAAGAAAGTCTACCCCCCCCGAACAAAAAAAATAGAATTTATATAGAAAATATATACTTTTGAAGTGTACGCCCCCCCCCCCCCACGAAAATTTTTGTCCGCCCCCCCCCTCGAAAATTTCAAGTGCACCCCCCGGAGAAAAAAGTCTGGAAGAAACACTTTTCATAAAAATAACATTATGAACAGTATTCTCATGTTTCCCAAGCATTTTAAAGAAAGTAATTGATAAGTTATACGTTTGTCTTGACTGCAAAATGTCCTTTGTTTTGTAACAAGGTGCTTCTCTGTTGTATTTTTTTTATAGAAACAGCTGATTTGATACCTCGTAGAAATGTGTAATTTATTATTTGTTTATTTGTGGATTTGATGCAAAACTTGTAACTGAATTATAGTACCTTTTAGAAACATTTGTTTCTAAAGACAGAGCAATGTAATATAATTGTAATCTAATTAGACATTAGATTAGTCATTCTTTTATTTAAAAGAGCAGGTTTGTTTTATTATTAATTTTATTTTCAGCGCATTAAATTTGATTATAGGGGTTTTTAGACTTATTTCAGAAGTTGATGCCACTTTCGTTATTTCTGAAGAGCTTTGTCCCTTTATTTTTCAGTTGTTTCTTTTAAAGAAAATATCTCATTTATTCATCTGGAACTTCAACTTCTCCGCTGTTGATCTTCTCAATAACTGAATGAGGTGGAAGCTTATCAATGGCACAGACAATGGTGTGCGGACCTTTGACCACAGGTGCTTTGACCACAGGTGCTTTGACCACAGGTGCTTTGACAATAGGGGGTTTGACAGGGGGTTTGACCACAGGTGCTTTGACCATAGGGGGTTTAACCACAGGGGGTTTGACCACAGGTGCTTTGACCACAGGTGCTTTGACCATAGGGGGTTTGACCACAGCGGGGCTACGACCATAACGGAGCTTTGACCATATGGGGTTTGACCATAGGGGGGTTTGACCACAGGTGTTTTCGCAGCAGAGGGTCTTTGATCACAGGTTGTTTATCAACGGGTGTTTGATCACAAGCGCTGTGTCGGCTTTAAACACAGGTGTTTTTTCCATATAGGGTCTTTGATCACAGGTTTTTTTATGTCCATATGGGGTCTTTGATCACAGGTGGTTTGTCCAATGCTGGCGTTTGCTAATAAGCGCTTTGTCCATATATTGTAATGATTTATATTAAATGTTATGTAATTATATTTTAAATTGCGGCAGGATATAATAATATGTTAATTCATCATATATAAATACAAGTCATCTAAACCATACAATTATTACTTCTTTGACTACACTGTTGGCATGTTTTTTTTATCATTTGTTATCCTTTCTATTTATGTTTTTCAAGTACATCTACATTATTTATTTGTGAAACGTGTTATATGTCGCATTATTTATTTTCCATTTATATTTAAAATAAATTCTATGAGGCGTAGCACCAGCATTTATGTGGAGACTAAAATATCGTTCTTAACTTTTTTTTTGTACGTTAATTTCTATTAATGGACTCCCAGGAAACATGTATAAAATCGTATTAATTGTATCACAAATTTAAATCAAATAACAATTTATAATATCTATTTTAAAATCTATATATTATGGTTAACCCCACTCTGTGGTCAAAGCTCCGCTGTGGTCAAAGCTCCGCTGTGGTCAAACCCCCTATGGTCAAACCCCCTATGGTCAAAGCTCCGCTGTGGTCAAACCCCCTATGGTCAAACCCCCTATGGTCAAAGCACCTGTGGTCAAAGCACCTAGGACCCAGCCAATGGACTGTGCAGTTCCTAACACTTCTTTTACAGTGCCAGAGAGTTCTTTCACCATGCTGCGAGAACGCATTTGTTTAGCTATCTTGATTATATCATCCATTGTCAAGATGCCATTATGCTTGACATGTTTAACCTTCTTTCTGTCTCTGGGAGGTTCTTTTAATGCACGATTGCTGAAGCACTAGGAATAACCTTTACTTTAGCTTGTCTGTTCTGTACTACAAGCTTTACTGTAATTTTGAGACCTTTCCAATCAGCGGTTCCCTTCTGAATGTCATCACCAACTTTCTTTGGAGACAAGCCCAAAGGTCCAATCTTATGAGCAAGCGAAGAAGTAGCTGGTACTTCACCTCCAACAGCCCTGCAGTAACTATGGAGGTTGCACCTGGATCAAAGTTTGGAGGCATTCTGAGCCACTTAGTGGTCGGCAACCTTTTGAGACGAAAGAGCCAAAAGTTACAATTTACAACATTACCCGGTTTTTAAAGAGCCACTAACATTTTTATGTCAATAGTATATTTGTTTAGTATATATATAATCCTAAACAAATATCATACTATATATATATATATATATATATATATATATATATATATATATATATATATATATATATATATATATATATATATATATATATATATATATATATATATATATATATTAAAATAAACAGCTTTGAATATATGAGATAATCTCATTTAAATTCGTGTTGAGAGGATCTACTATGTAAGTAAGAGTACTTGCATTTGTTTTGAATAGCTCAAATCTCTCAGTGAAAACACCCTTCATTTTGTTTATATTAATGCTGAAGTGATTGAATAGTAGCATTGGTTTCATAACGATATTTTTTTCAGATCTTTCGCAATTAAGTTATTTATCGCTCATCATGTATACAACAAAAAAATTTTTTTTTTCGAAACAAACTACCTTTTCAAGCAAGACATAGGCTAGATTTTCCTTTAAGTTTTACACTTAGCTGGTTTAGTTTCTTTGTGAAGTTGAATGTTTCAATTCGGAATATACAATGTAATAGGAAGTACACTGAGATAGGGAGTAACTAAAATTAATATTCAAATGGAATAGTGAATGTTTATTGTTTATAAATATTGTTATGTCGTTTATTACAGAGTTTTTATGAGTTTTGGAAATAAAAATAAAATAATTATTAATATTTGTGCATGGAGCTGAAGAGCCGCAACTTGACATCAAAGGAGCTGCATGCGGCTCGCGAGCCGCAGATTGCCGACCCCTACACTAAAACGACAGTTATGATTTTATTTTTCAGGATCCAAAAATAACAACAACAATAGGACCAAAATTAATATCTAAATGACAGGATTTTTTTTAATTATAGAAAAAATCTTGATAGTAAGCTAAAGTGATTAATTTTAAAGTATAACTAATGATTTTGAAATTTATCACTTAGACAAATATAAAATTTATAATTTATTATAGGCCATTATTATTAAAATAAAATTATAATATCATAATAGACTTAAAATGTTAAATTGTGTTACCTATATACGTTTTATATTAAATTGCTGATTTAAATGTTTTTTTCTATTTGTTGCGTCCCTTGAATTAAAAATTCACATCAATTGATTTATAACACTTATAGCGAGGGTTTTCTAATGATCGAACTACTCTTTTAACGGGTCGTCACTTCTACAAGGGTGACGGTCGGAAATGTGTGATTATGTGTCACGAGGAGGTAGTGGGTGGGAGAGTGGGGGTTGAGGATCTGAATGTGTGACGACACAATTTTGCATTCTAAAAAGCAACGTTAGAACTGCCTCTTAGCCGTTATTTCGCATTTTTCAAAAATACATTTGTTTTTCGTAAATTGCAATAAAATTAATAAATACACTCAATGGAGGAAGAGATCAGTAAATATTTTTGACCGAAATAGATATTGTAAGAAAAAGTGTAATTTTGAGGTGCTAAGGCGTGGTGTCACTTTCTTTTTAGGGGGGGGGGGGTGACGATTAAAGATTTAAAAAAAAATGATCTTATAAAAACTGTGTGCTACTTGATGGTCATGAAAAAAAAGATACATTAACATTCCTTAAGTTCTGACAAGGATTAGTCTTGAAAGCAACGATTCAAAGGAAAGAATTGATGTTTCCGATTTCAAGCATAGTATGAAGAAATTAGGGACGGCGTGGCCTAAGCGGTAGAGCGCTAGGCTTCTAACCCGAACGTCTCGAGTTCGAACCTGGGTTCAAGTCAGTAGAACGTCCCTGAGTCCACCCAGCTCTGATGGATACATAACTCATGTTAGGGAAAGTAAAGGCGGCCGGTCAAAGTGCTAACCACACCTTCCTTTCATATGCCTAGGTCAAGAAACACATGATCTACTTCATCTGCATAATGGATCGGATCTAAAGAGGATTCTTTACATTTTTTTTTTACTTTCTCGTATATACGAAGTATACAGAAAGTCTTGTAATCGTGTAAAAAAAAATCGAGATTTTTGCAAATCTCGAAGTTTTACACCTCCTTGAGTCGGAAAAACTTTGTTTTGCAATCTTGTACGCATGTCTGTGTGTATGTGTGTGTGTGTGTGTGTGTGTGTGTGTGTGTAAACACGATAACTTGAGTACCGTTACAGCTAGGTTGATGAAATTTCATATATAAGTATCATATCAAAATCGTAGATACGTATAGATTTTTGAGCTATTTCCGATAACCGGAAGTGGAACTTTTCTACTTTGAATTTTTCAAAAGCCTATAACTTGAGTGCTATTTCAGATAGATAAATAAAATTTCACATGTAAATAAAAGATCTAATTCTCTGCCTTCTATCAAATTTTGAGTAATTTCTGTTGACCGGAAGTAGTAATTTTTGCTATTTCCAATTTCTCAAAAAACGCATTTGAATTTATAAAGTACTAATATTATTCCGCACTATTATGCACATTTTATCTGGCGTTCACTTGGTGTGCAATTCTTTTTTCTACGAGATTTTATTCTATTTTTAAAAAGTAAATATTAAAAAAAAAACATGTCTATATCCCGAGTTGCCATCCCCTGTTTTTTCATATAAGAATATTCGAGAAAGTTTAGGGGAGAACACTCTAGGTTTATTTTATGAAGAAATTGAATTCATATTTTGTTATATTCATTTAGGAACTATCGTTACAATCAATAGTGCAACTCCTGCATTGCAATCAATCGAAATAAACTCATCCGCTGGTATGAGATATCTTTCCACAGCGTTTGATAAACTGGTTTTCACGCATGATACATGGGTAACTATCAGTGTTACAGCCTAAACAATCTCAGCCAATTAGCAAATGACATCACAGTTTCTCAGAGGCGTAGCGACCCTTCCCGGCGCCCGGGGACATACTTTCAATTTGGCGCCCCCCTCGGGAGCAAATTTTCGATGTGCACCCCCCCCTCGAACTTTTCATTTGCACCCCCCCTCAAACTTTCGATTTGCACCCCTCCTCGAACTTTTCATTTGCACCCCCACCCCTCAAACTTTCGATTTGCACCCCCCCCCCCCCTCGAACTTTTCATTTGCACCCCCCCTCAAACTTTCAATTTGGCCCCCCCCCCTAAGGTCGGCGCCCGGGGACATATGTCCCCCCCGCCCCCCCCCCCCCCTCGCTACGCCTCTGCAGTTTCTTGTTGTTAGAAAGAGGAGCGTAGAAATCATTTGAGGAGCTAAACAATGGCAACCGTCTTCAAGTACCGGAACTTGCGTACTTCGTAATTGTAATATTGTAGGGGGTTACCCCGACTCATGTAAGTGTTACGTGTCACTTTGTTATACGTTATATAGGTCGTTGGATCCGATTTTAAGTTCCCCCCCCCCCAAAGCCTTTGTATAACAAACAACAACAAACTGGAAATTTTGAAAATCTATGTCTTGAACAAAAATGAAAGTTTTGCTATACACGTTTAATATGCATTTGTTGTTATTAAATTTTGGAGTTTTCTCTGATAACGAGACTCATCTGACTGGGGGTTCGAACTCGGGACGTTTCACTTTAGCAGCCATGAGCTTTTACGACCCGACCATGGGCTACTCCCTTTATCTGCGAACCACGTAAAGATTAAGCTTTAAGATTAAAACAAAAAGCTGGCAAAAAGAAAAAAAATGAAGCTTAAATCTCAATTGGGTTAGAAATGTTGATTTTAATGTGTTTAGTTTAATCTTAAAATCAATTTTAATATATTTCATATAAAATAATTTTATGATTTAAAAAAAAAAGGTTCCACGCCCCCACGCACCCCTCCCCCTATTCGCATTAATGTGTATGCTATCTTACAGTGAAACCCCCATTTTACCCAGGCCTATTGGTCGTTTGCGGATCATTTTTTCCTGTCATTGGCTCCCGCTGTCTCGGACCGGTGAATACGGACACAAACGTGTCCTTGAACTTGCTGCTCATGGCCAGGTACACGAAAAAATTCACCGAGGCGTTGAGCGACTCGGTCACGTGGGCGAACGACCACGCGACGAAAAACAAATTCTGCTCCGCCTCCCCGGTGTTGAAGTCAGGGGCGGCGATCATGGCAAGGGAGTACACGGACCCCGGTAGCAGACAGGTTATGAACACCACGGCTATCAAAACCACCATCTTGCTGGCTTTGGTTTCCTTGGCAACCGCAGCGTCCGTCCCGCGCGCGGCAGTGATTTTCCATTTCCTGGATTTGTTTAGATTGATGACGAGGATGGCAGTGCACAAGGCAACGAAGACAAAAGCACCGTCGCAGAGGACGACGCTGAGACCTAAGGTGATGCTGTTGATTGTGTCTTTGTTTTCAGAGAAAACCAACCCGATGAGACTGGCGTTTCTGGTGGGGTACCACTTCCAAGCGAGATGCGTGGAGAAATAGACTGGGGAAATGCTCAACGCGACAGCGATGAATATCGCGGAAATAATGACGACGACTCGGCGAGGGGTTAGAATAGTTTTAACCTTGAGAGGCACGGCCGTGCAGAGACATCGCTCAAACGTCACGAAAGCCGTGATGAGACCGCTCACCCGCGTGAAATAAAACTTGGGCCACCCCCCTGTCAGGTACTGCGTCCCGCGGGAGTCGAGAACCGTGTTGGTGTCCGCGAAAAGAGGGTTGTAACAGACGCCCATCCAGAAGAGGGCGAGCAGACCGCAGATGTCCGAAATGGCCATGGCGGTGAGCGATACGTTGACCGTGTCTTTGAAACCTTGCCTGTGAAACACCAGCAGGCTCAGCACGTTGGTGACGATCCCGAACACGCTGATGACGTCATACAGCACACACTTGACGATGACGGACACCAGGGTCAGTACTTCAGAGCTGACCAAAGGATGATGTGTTGGTGAGGTCTGGACAACGTTGGGCAACTCCTGGCTGTGGTTCATGGTGGAGACGGTATCAGCTACGTTGCTGTAGTTGTACCCGTTTAGTCCAGGTTGGCCTATGTCGCTCATAGATATCATTTTTAGCACAACCTTTCAACCCCCAGAAAATATAGCTTTCCGGTTTCTTTTCGTAAAATACAAACTTCCAATACTTTTTAAATCAAAGTGAAAAGTTTTGAACAGCAGTATAAATACCACAAATTAAAGCTTTTTTAAAAAATTGTGTTGCTTAAATTTACCCAGCGGTTAATATTTTTAAAAATCTTGGCCATAAATAAATACATTTGAAAGGGAAAAGAATTTTATAGTTTTGGAATTGGTTTCAAAACAAAAATTAATATATACAGAGCCCAAACATATAGGCTTTTAATTAATTTTCCTTTTTAAATCCGAAACTTATTTTTAAACGATATTTTAGGTATTTTAAATTATGAACTACGATTTTTACTGTGGGTTATTGAATGACTAAATCAGTTTTTAAAGTAAGAGACGGTTCCTTATTTCTATCAATCATGATAAGTATGACGCCAACTTAAGCTGAAGCTAAGAATAAGAACAAAGTACTCTAAACATACTCATAAAAAAGTTAGGATTTAACTACACTTTAACAATAAATAGTTTGGTCTCTTCATATCTACAATACAACTTTTTTGTTCTTTGAAATCATAGCAGGCAAGTGCATTTTATACACCTAGGTAGGCGCGTATTGATCAGAAAAATGTTAATTGATTATTGATTTTTAAATAATCATATTACATTTCTGAAAAGAGGCAAACAAAACGAAACAATCTTTTTTTCAGTGCTGCTAATGATTATTTCTCACATATGTTTACCTTCAATGTGAGGGGTTATTTTAGCGATTGCAATTATTTTGTGTTGTTACACTAAATGACCCCGATGATCTAGTTACCGAGAGGTGGCGTTTTGCCACAAACGTGAGTTTTTTAAAAGTGCTGTGGTGACACACCAGGAAGTATCTCTTGTTTAAACAGCGAAATCGGTAAACAGATCAAGTCTTTTCCATAGTTGATTATTCGAATTATCATAATTAAATTGATTAAATAGCAAAATGTTATTTGATTAATTAGTGCTGCCTAATTTTGTCACAAATATTAATGCAATAAGTAATAATTGTGAAATTTTGAAGTTATTATTTGTTTTTAAATATTTGAACAAATTTATAATTTGCAGTTGTTTTTTAAAATTAAAAACTGATAAAAACAATTTCTTTTTTTTATTGTTATACCCGTAGATGATTTTGAAACAACACAGAGAACTACTGAGTGTTTTATTATATAATAATAGTTTGGAATCTTTCATTTTAACAAAAAATAAAAAAATAAATGGACTAATTTCTCTGTTTTAATAATATAAAAAAGAGAATTAAAATTTTCGAAATCGGATACGTTTATTTTTTAAAAACAGGGCCAAGCTACATTTATTTGTGTAGTGACTTCATGTTTTACTATAGGAAATACAACTAATATGACCAGGTTGGATTGTGTGTGAAATCAATGCGATGATTAAACCGGACAACTTGCAATAGGAAAGACAGTGATAATCTAAAAATTGTGTTTGCTCTACTTCTTCTTTTTCTTCGTTCTTAATTTTAGTGTTGGAAGGGATCCCCCCTCCAACACAATTAAGGATACATGTCAACTGATTATGCGCCATGGAGGCCATTGACTGCTTTTCTTTTTGGATTTGCTTCCATAGCTTTAGTCCAACCAAGAACAAACTACAAGGCAGCAGTTGTTTGATTTTGGAGTTGTCTCTCCTAGAAGAGTGGCTGTCCCCAGCTAACGAGCCTCATTTGCCCGAGAGTTTGCTCTACTAATTTGTGAAATCGCTGCTAAAGCTTAAAGTAACTAAAAGGCTAACTAGAAATGGATTCTTGAATTACACACTGCCTCAACATTTATTCCAAAAACACATAAAATCTGCACCGGTAATTACAATAATCTAATGATGTAATGGAATTTATAAACAGGAGCCACAAGCAGTCAAATATTTGTAAAAAAAATTGCCCTTCAACAGGTGGATCATTCATTCAACGTGCTGTACATTTAAAGAAAGAAAAATAAAAACTCCGGGCATAGACCTACATAAACTAGATGAATCTCAACAGGGCTACATAAACTGAATGAATCTTCAGAATGATAGCATCTGATTCCATTCTAAGGATAATTATTACCGGAGCCTGCAAACAGAACTTTACTGGTCATCCGTCCACGTTCTCGCTGTCACTCATTTTTAGACCAAGTCTTGTGCTATCTTGGCATCAAACTCTTCAGATATTTCGGTGCAGGCTTGTATGATGTTGTAGGTGCTCACAGTTTCTATGAGGCATCTATTCGCGGGGGGGGGGGGGGGGGGGGGGTAGCAATGCCCCCAAAAGCACGTCTACCACCCCCTCCCTCCTCTACCGGAATAGAATTTATATAAAAATATATACTTTTACCAGTTTCAAATCTTCCCCCCCCCCCCCGCCAAGGATAAAAAGTGAGAAAGAAGCATCTTATTCCGGTGCTCTTATGGTATGATGCCATATGATTGCGAACCTTATCACTCTCACATCAGAAGTCAGTATATTAATCTCTGCAGATTCTGCTACTAAATCTCAGCTGGAGGTTTTTTAGCTCTGGATCTTCATATTCATTGTTGACGTAATACTCCTTAACCCACCATGATGAGCTCCTTCACGCTGTCGGAGCAGGCTAGCATAGCATCACAACCTTGACCTCCATGACGTCATGGAATCTTCTTCACGTCTGCTTATAAAAACAGACATGTGCTTTCCGCCAAGTACTGGCCCCACCAAAATTGTGTACAAAAACTTGCATGTTTCATAGAAATGATGTCATGAAGTGGGGGAAAAGTAGGCTAGTAGAATGGTGTCTTAAAAAGGGAAGGGAGTAGGTCAGCTTGAAGGTGTCGTGAAGGGGGTAAAATTAGATCAAATCAGAGGCGTAGCGAGGGGGTGGGGGCGGGGGGGCATATGTCCCCGGGCGCCGACTTTAGGGGGGCGCCAAAATAGGTTGGAAAAATAAGTTGAAAGTTTGAGGGGGGGGGTACAAATGAAAAGTTCGAAGGGGGGGGTGCAAATCAAAAGTTTGAGGGGGGTGCAAATCAAAAGTTCGAGGGGGGTGCAAATCGGGAAGGGTCGCTACGCCTCTGGATCAAATAGTAGTGTCGTAAAGGGGAGGAACTAGGTCAGCATGATGGTGTTGCAAAGTGGGAAAGGATGACAATTTTGCCCATCACTTTGAATGTTTCTACATTCACCTTAACGAAATATGTGTTTTCCAGACCAGCAGACAAACAACAAAAAAACACTTTCTCACTGTGCTGATGCTCAGATAAAATCTCACTTGACCTTCTTCGTCTTCATTCTTAATTTTAGTGTTGAAAAGGGATCCCCTCCAGCACAATTAAGTAGACGCGTTAACTGGTTATGTGCCATTGACTCCGATTTCAGCCTGCTTTTCTTTTTGGATTTGCTTCCATAGCTTTTGTCCAACAAACAACAAACTACAAGGCAGCAGTTGTTTGATATTGCATTTGTCTCTCCTAGAAGAGTGGCTGTCCCCAGCTAACGAGCCTCATCTGCCCGAGGGTTCGAACTCGAGACTTTTCGGTTTAGCAACCACGAGCTTTACCGAATCGACCACGCAGACCCCTCTCACTTAACCAATCTAACAGATACAAACGTAATAATCAATTGTGAATCATGACCTGATACAGTCTTATACTGACCTGCTAGCTCAAAATGACGAGGCTAATTAAGATGTAATCAACTGTTGGGTTGTTGATTATTGATGTTTATTTTCAACTAGACATTTCTTTTTTCTAGAAATATTTTCAGTAACTACCTGTACGATAAAGAGCGTTAGCTGAGTTCTAATTAAAACTACACATACAATCTTTTTAAAAAGGAATATTTTCTTATTTGAAAATATTTTCTGTGCGATAAAAGACATTAGCTAAGTTTTAGTTAAAACAACACATACAATATTTTTATTATTTGAAAATATGTTATAGAAAAAAATATTTAAAGCACGGATTACGGCTTAGATGGAGGAGAAAAATCCAAAGAAAAATTCACTTGTTGTTTTGAACACTTACGGTACTAACACTAACTGTAAGTTCCTTTTTATATACTTTTGCGCTGCTTTTACGCATGACTAAATGCCGAAAACACGCGAAAGTCTCAGTAAAGGTTTGCTTAAACTTCGAACTCATGTGAACGTAGACCAAAATATTTAAACTAGCGTTGATGGCTTCGGAAATGTGGATCACAGAAGCCAGGGTGAAAAACAGATTTCCTTGAGCCTCTCCTGCGTTGAAGGAAGGAAAAATAACCATGCCGAGTGTGACAAGCGAGCTAGGAAACAAACAGACAATAAACACTCCCGCTGTGAGTATGACCATCTTGCTAGCTTTGGTTTCCTTAGAAATTTTTTTGCCGGTCACTTTCGCAAACGATTCTTTGAATTGCATGGACTTGTTGATATTGCAGACGAGAATCAGGGTATTCACCGTAACGAAGATGAACGAACCGTTACACAGGACAACGTTGAGGCCAATACTTATGCTGTTTATTGTTTCTTTGTTCGCTGAGAAGATAAGACCCACAAGGGTTTTGTTTCGACCCGGGTAAAATTTCCAGTCCAGGGTCGTGGCTAAGTAGATTGGAGAAATTGACAAAGCGAGGCCTATGTATATAGCGGAAACGATGACCAAAACTCGTTTCGGGGTCAAGATTGCCTTGACTTTTAAAGGCATAGCAGTACACAAACACCGTTCAAAAGTCACGTACGCGGTGATCATGGCGCTCACACGGGTGAAGTAAAACTTGGGCCACCCTCCAGTAAGGTACTGAACCCCGCGGGAATCTATTATGATATCCGAGTTTGCGAAAAGCGGATTGTAGCAGACGCTCATCCAGAAAAGAGAGATCAAACTGCAGGCATCAGAAACCGCGATGGCGAACAAGGAAACGTTGACGGTGTCCTTGAAGCCAATCTTCCAGAACACGACGAGATTCAGGCAGTTGGTCGTGATGCCGACTACACTGCAGAACTCGTACAAAGCGCTTTTGAGGACGACGGAAATCAAAGCCAGGGCCTCGTCGCTGATTATTTTGACAGGACCGGAAGTGACGTAGTATAAATTATTTTCGTCTGTTGAATTCATCGTGGTGTGAATAGGCGTAGATGTGGTCAAGTCGTCTTGGTTGTAAAAGCAGACTTTATTCAGAGGATATTTCGTTTTGCGCTGTTTTAAAGTTAATAAAATAATTTCACATGAATTCAATACATCTGGTTTGGAAGCATACACATATGAAGAATTGCTTTAAGAGCAGTGTTTCTTTCAGGCATCTCTTCGGGAAGAGGGGGGGGGGGGGTGGAAGAAACTCTGCAGGCTCTATCTTAGCGCCTTTACTTTTCTCTTTGAACTTAAGTGATCTCCCTTTGCATATGAACAATGGGCTTAGCGAGGTGTTGGCTTATAATACTTTAATGCGTGTCTTTGCAGACAGAATACACCCACTATTAAGAGACTTTGGAGTTTGGAGAAAGGAGGGGTGTGGCGAGTATCTTATTCCTGAAAGTACTAAAATATAACAAGAAGGGTGGGCATATTGGTTGGGAAATAATTAACACAAAGTCAGTTAGGATACATAACCAATGTCTATAGTGTCTTACCTTACCAAAACCACTAGAAATGCATATTGATGGGCCCACACGTCAAACTACATAGAAAAACACCATCTATCCAGAACAATAAATGTGGATTTAGATAGTTTCATTCTTTACATATAGCTTTACGATACAATGATTGAAATAAGTCATAAAAATATCCTTTCAAACCTGGACGTCCATTGGGTAGATGAAGTAGATCTAACCTGTTTTGTGACCTCGGTCGTATAAATGGATAGTGTAGTCAGCACTGTGCACAGCTGATTTTACTTCCCCTACTGAAAGTCAAGTACCCATCGGAGACTTGGTGGGGTGGGGGGGGGGGGGGGGGGGGAGGTCTTACGGACTCAAGCTGAGACCCGAACTTGTAAGCAGTTATCGGACCATGACGTAAAAAAATGAAATAAGCCTTGCCTTGTGCTACGCTGTTCGTTAATTTCAGAAAGCGTTTGATTCTATTGATCATACTACATTTCTTAAAAAAAAAAACAAAAAAAAAAAAAAAAAAACAACTAATTCCATACATATTTCACGAAACGACTCTTCTAATAGATCAAAAAAGGTAGTTCACCTAAACTCAATTTCGCAAAAAGAAAGACATCAACATAGTCCCCAAGGGTCCAATGTTCCTTTCAGACTTTCTTTCTTCGATGGGGGTGGGGGGTCACTCGAAATTTTCGGGACTCAATCTCCGGGGTGGGGGGGGGGGCACACTGCTAAAAGTATATATTTTCTATACAAATAAATTCTATTTCGTTCAGTTTATGACTGGGCAAACATTTTCAAAAGCAAGTCACTGCTCCCCCCTCCCAGAAATTTTGGTCCGCCCCCCCCCCCCCGGAAAAAAGTCTGGAAGAAACACTGCTACCCATTTAAACAAAGCGGGAATACGTTTGCAATCTGTAAATGTGTATTTGTGTATGTGAATACGTTGACTTGAGTACTGTTTAAGAAAGGTGGACGATATTTCATTTATAAAAATAAAAAAAAGTTTTATATATATATATATATATATATATATATATATATATATATATATATATATATATATATATATATATAACTGCACGTCCACTGACCTTCAAGTTTCTAAATAAATAATTTAACCGTTTAGTGTTAACTGCAAATTTTTGTCTTGCTTTGCGCTCATTATATATGAACCAAATAGGCCTATAGATTTAGTTTCACATATAGATTTTCTTGCCATTCTCTGACTGTTGCAAATTGAGTCAATAAAATCCAATTAGGATTGTCAACACAGTTATAGGTCTTAGCCAACCAGATCCAATTAGTATTGTCAACACAGTTAAAGCCTACAAAATTGCCAGATTATTTGTTCAGTTTTCTGTTTGAAACAATTTTGAAGCTTAGTTTTTGTAAACTTCAGGGTGATTAGTGTATCTGATTTTAATAATTATCAGAATGAAATGTGACACTTAAAAGAGCACAGGATATGAGCCAGTATCAGTTTATTCTAGAACTTGAATATTGATCATGTAACGGAGATGTTAATAGGGGGTTAATTAGATTGATCAGATAATTAAAACAAATGTTTATGTAAGTTTAACAGGGTTAAACAAACACAATTGTCTAGCATCCTTCCAGCTCGATTTTTAACAATTGAATAAACTTATTTTTTTCAAGAACTATTAAAATAATTCTGGTTAGGATGTGAAAAAGGTGATTTTTTTTTGGTGTAAACATTTGTTTTTCAAAGTATTCTTCAACATCTGAAGTTAGTGTTGATTTAAATAAAGAGTCACATCTATTAGAAGGTGTTTATAATTTTTTAAATTGAATTTTCTTTTTTATATTTTGAGTAGGCTAACTATTTTATTTTACAAAAACGGGTGAACTTGTAAAAAAAAAAAAACCCTCACATAATTAAATAAAATGGATGTTTATTTTTATATATGTAATATACACACAGAAATGAAGGTTAAATTAATTGATTTTATGGATAAAAATGTTATAAACTAAATCACCTATTTTTGTACGGATTTATTCTAATGGTAATACACCATACATACAATCACAATGAATCATAACTAGTTCAATCAATGATACCAAGTTTTGAACTGCTAAAGCTAATCTCAAGAACATTTTCATACTGCTAAAACTAAACTCAAGAACATTTTCATTTTTAACAAAGATTTACTAGACAACAGTTGTTTGTAATTACTAATTAGATTAACAAATTCATTCTTAGCAGTCTGTAATTAAATCCACAAACTCATTCTTAGCAGTCTGTAATTGAATTAACAAACTCATTCTAATTACAATTAACACATGACAACAGTTTCCAGTTATTTCATTGAGCATTCAATACACACAAATCTAACACACAAAACAAATGAAGAAAACCCATTATTTGAATAAATGCTTATTATCAAATACTTCACTAAATTCAGCATCCAGATACAACACAATTTTAAACAGCATCTGATAGATAAAATGATAAATGCACACCTCACACATATAAACAGATACTAAACACAACATCTCAAATGGCCAAATTCACAGTTTAAAATTCTATAAACAAATATGTTATTGAAGATTTATTGGGGTACTGACCAACCAACCAGTCACACTAAGCTGGTCTAAAATTAAATACCGCGAACCAAGCTAAAAAAAATAGTTTATGACTAAAACAAAGCTCAAATAAAATTTAGAAGTGTTTGTTATTAAAAGATAATCTGGGAACATTATTTTTTAGAATTATTTTAATTTTACTTAAATAATTTATATATGGTGAATTCATTCAGGAAGTAAGATAATGAACCAAATGTGGCATTAAACTTTAAATGCTCTTAAATGGAGCAAATTGTAAACAATTTTCTTTTCTTTTGAATAATGTAAACTGATTTTTCACAATTAAAATTTCTTTATTTAAAGGCACTACCTAAATGAACAAGACCAGCAGACCCACCCAGCCAGCTTTCAGCAGACGTGCAGCAGACTATAAATATCACACAGATGACTAGCTGGTCACTCCTGTTTTCCTCCGGTCTGTGACAAGTGTTTTATAATATCTACCCAGTCCCAGCCGCGGGGGCGGTCAGACGTGCCGAACCTGTCAAACAATCTCCTCTTCTGGGATTTGGTCAGCTGCTCCTTTTTATCTTTTTTGGCAGGAGAGTCATCAGATTCATCTACAGTTTCCTGGGTGGGCTGGGAATATAATTTTACATGTAGAAAGATTGGTAATCTACACAGTTTATTCAGATCATGTCTATGGAATTTATATATACTAATGTTAACTTGCCCAAAATCTAGTAAACAGAAATAATTTTCATTTTATAATTTGATAGTATAAAAGCTATTAGTTTTTTATATTTAGTAATTATTATTAGTAATATTAATAAAAATAATTTTAGTAAAAGTAAAGGGGCGGACATCAAACCAAAAGTCTAGAGTTTGAATCTTGGTTTGAGTCTGTATGATGACCCTGAGTCCAGCCAGCTCTAATGGCTCCCTGAATCACATTAGGGAAAGTAAAGGCAGCTGGGCATAGTGCTGACCACACTATTCCTTCATTTGCTGAGGTCACTGAAATAAGTGAACTCTACTTCACCTTCGTCTGTCCCAGGTACAGTCAGATTCGATAGGGGATTAGCAGTCGTAGAGTTTACAACATGTATCATTTAAACTTGCATAAATCGAACAAGTTTGACAGCTAAAATAATCTGCAGAAAAAACAACTGTTGTTATTTGTTTACAACTCACCGCACTTATAATAGGTGTTTCAGGCTGCTCAGATAGCAAACTGTCCAAGTTGTCCTTGACCCACTCAAACAAGGAGAAGGTCATGGACATGCCCATTAGATCTTCTGTCTGTGAACATTAATAATCATGAATTTCATATGATATCAAGCCAAGTAAATTACAATAATCACATTAAAGTCAGAATTAGCCATTTAGTCATGTAAATTTAAACTTATCACACATAGTTAATTAAAATCTTAATGACTTATAATTGACCTTAAACTTTTTTCGAAATTCCCATACAATGTCAGAAACCCTCTCCCCTAAATCCAAGCACAAATTATTTAAAAAATTACTTTTTAAAATGAAAAAAATGACATCTAAATTTCAGACAACACCCACTCTCCATAATGACACAAATGTCTGAACTCTCCATTTTGGGATTGTGGCATCATTTATTGATGAGCACCCGCTAAATATCCCCCCCCCCCCAATTCCCTGAATACACTTGTGAATTTGACAATATTTTGTCTCTAACCTGTTGCAGCAAGCCAGCTTTAACTGCTTCTTTCACAGATGGAATGCTTAGAGAGAGAGAGATATCGGAGTAAAAGGGTGTTTATTAAAGTAAGAATGTAATGAATGTTTAAGATAGAACATTAAAATCAATGTTGATGAATACAATTTTTAAAACTCAGCTTATGATTTTGATTACAGATTTAATTTATACTGAATTAAACTTGTAAAAGTAGCTCTTTAGAGGTAATGAAACATTAGAATATTACTACTAAGTAATAATTTTAAAATTTTCTCAAACTCATTGATTTTTTTTCATTACTTTTGATCCATTTTTTTAAAATGGGCATCAAGACAAAATTATATTTATCTATGATGCAGGTGATAGCAACATGCTGCTCAAAATATTAATTGCACTACTGATAAGCACTGTGAAATACTTGATACTAATACTGGCCTAGTACATTTTTTTGCAACTAGATATTGTTTCTAGCTTCAACTAGGCTATATGATTTATACAGGCAAATTAAAAACTACCACTACAGTGTGTTCAAAACAAATGAAACAAATCTTACACATGCTTGTTGTAGAAAAGTTCTAAACTTATAGTTGGGGGTTCTTCTGGGTAATTTGGTGGCCAGCTTATCTCCACAAGGAATGATTTGTAGCTGCCATCTTCACCAAACTGTCAGTATAAAAATGTTTGTATATGCTTACAATACAAGCTAATACAAGTCTGTATTGGATATTGGTGACTGTGATATGATATATTATCTGCGTAATCATATATTATAAAAGTTTAAATTAGTTTAATACAATAAAGGCACAATAAAAGAACTAAAAATTATATGAGAATGTTATAAGAATAATTTTCATTAAAAAAATTCATAAATGAACTTTGCTATCCAAATCCAATGCTACAATTGTGATTGTTTATATTTATTATTTGAGTTACTCCCTTGAAATTGTATCATAATCTGATAACCTATTTGCAATGTTACATAAATACCTTATACTGAAACACAGTCTCACTGATTTGCTTGAAGGCATTGTCACCATCATAGATAGATTTTAAAACTTCCAATTCTTCCTAGTCATAAAGAAACAATGTATACTATTTCAATAAATTAAAGATCGCGCACATTTTGTAAGACATGAAGGGGTAGGGTGGTGGTGTATTAGTCTTTGTTAGGGTAAAGCAGGGCACTAGGCACCATGTGGTATTATGCCCAGTTGGAATCCCACCCCAACAATAATATCCTTAGTAAAACTGCTAATCTACCAATTAGGTAACAACCACTACTGTTCCTTGATCATAGTAATAGTAGAGGATTCATATTAGGTCTATATTTAATGTGAGCTGACCCACGATGTAGCATACCCCACTATTTAGTTGTTTTACTTCCTATTTTTCAGTAATTCATAATTTGTGAATTCGACACTATCAATGCTGCGACAGAAAATATTTTGCTTTAAAACACTACCAGTAGCTAGTAAAGGACGATTATCCTCACCCTCACTTTCCACCCCCCCCCCCCACGAGAGCAGCCGTCTGTGACGACAGTTTACAGACAACAATGGAAAAAATAATGCAGAACTTGTTATTTCCTCCCTATAGTTTCAAATAGTTTAAAAACATAATTGTCTGCCCCTAATAGGCGTCACTAATTCGACCCAGCTCAATGATTGTAAGCAGCTCACCAGACTGGTGGGGGTGGTAGCTATATGGTCTGTTGAGCTTATGTAGTGGTGTCCCCCATGGTCCGTCCATGAAGAGAATTATATATATAGTATAGATATTTTATTTATGAACCACTTGGCCCAGCAACAGAGCAGATCTAATAAGAATACTTAGTCTAGCACTCTAGCTCTTCTATTCAACAATTGTATGTATTGTAACTACAATCAATTCATCATAGTATAATTCATAGACTTCTAGAGATCAAGTACTAACTACAAAAAAGTAACTAAATTCTATTTTTTCTAGGCTAGAGGTAGAGTAGAACTGCAGACTGGATAGTGGCATAGTCACTATAGCACTATAGTAAGAGTTATAGGCCTAGTCGGCCTAGTCACAATTGTTGTGACTATATACTATATTATAGTGACTTCAGTGACTAGGCTTACTAGAGTGACTATGCCACTATCCAGTCTGCAGTTCTACTCTACCTCTAGCCTAGAAAAAGTAAAATGTTCACTATAATTAATAAAAAATAATTATAGGCCCTAGCCCTAATCAAACTAATGCCTAATTGAATTGTTAATTGTAGGCTAATTAGCTTAGGCCTAATTATTTTTTACGAAGGGACTACTAGGAAAAAGATTTTTTGCCCCAACGTCTCCATCTAGTCAGCAAAAGATAGCTCTGCGCAGTGACCTATGGCTAGGGTTTGGGCTAGGATTAGGGCTGGGGTTAGGGCTAGGGTTCTGCGGTTGTAAACACACACATGCTCAGTACCATCGAAAACAGCGCCGCATAAGCAAGTCGTAGTTTCTCTCCATTGCGCATGCGTACCTATTTCCGGCTAACATTGGCCTTATTACTTATTATTATTAGGCCTAATAGTAATTTATAGTTCAATAGATATTGATACTTTAGATCAGGGATCTCCAAACTTTTCAGCCCGAGGGCCGCATTAGCTATCAAATATAAGTTCGGGGGCCGGAGTTTCTTCCAGGCATCTCTTCGGGGCCACCCCCCCCCCCTTGAAAAACATCTCTTTAAAGGAACTGTGGTGTAAAAGTTGTAATATTAGGAAAGTCTCACTTAGGCAAATACTTATAAAAACCCACCCGCCCTTTTTTTAACAGTTGTCTCTAAGGATGTCATTTGCTGGATAACTGGCCACATTTACCTTAAATGGTAATTGCACCCAATGCTACATTTTCAATTTGTTTTGAATGTTTCCTCAAACATTTTTTTTTCGTGGACAAAACGATCTCTGGGGGCCGGATGAGAGGACCTTGCCGGCCGCATACGTCTGCGGGCCGTAGTTTGGAGACCCCTGCTTTAGATTATTAGATACTAGATCTAGATCTAGCTAGATACTACTAGATCTAGATAGTAGTAGATAGAATGATAGATAGATCTAGAGTAGATTAGATAGATATTATTTATTATTAATAGAATAGAATATAGAGTGTAGTCAGTAGTCTAGCTAGTGTGCTAAAAGTCTAGTTAATATAGGCCTAATAGGTAATAGTTAATTAGGCCTAATAGTAATAATAGTATTACTATTTAATAGGGCCTAGGCCGGTAATCTATCGTTTTGGGTACGTAAAATCGCCCGCGGCTATTTATGTACGAAAACGTTACCTCATTGTCAAGGCTTTAATAGAAGTATATTGTCATACTTTTGTGTTAAATATTATAGATAAATGAATAATAAACCTAAATCAATGGCTAAATATATCGATATAGGCCAGAAATTAACTTTAAACAGCAGTGTATGAGAGCAAGATTTGCTATAGGCCTATAAACAGCAGCCATTTGTAAAATAGAGTGGCTTCCCCTTGAATCTGGCGCTAAAAGCTTATAAAAATAAAACTTAGACAAGATGGCTGCTATAGTAAATGAGCATGGTTGCATCTGTTGGAAACATCGCTAGTCTTCATTTATTACGGAAAAGTTTTAATTCAATTGTTTAAAAACAGGTACATAAATGAATCAAGGAAACATTTCTGAATTTTTTAAAACATAAATCCTCCTCAAAATGTGAAATAATTATTAAAATTTAAGGAGTCACCTGTTTTTCACATTACAAATCGCGGGCGATTTTACGTACCCAAAACGATAGATTACCCCTAGGCCTAGTTATTAATTATTAACTTATTAAGTAAAAACAGAATATGAGAATAAGTCTGTCTAGTCTACTCATGTCTGATGTCGTCATACTCAAATCTGTCCTTCTTAGTCATTCTAGCTAGACTCTATTCATTTCTCTATTGATTGATTGAGTCGTCTAAAATTACTTAAAAATAAAAAAAGGTCCTAAATTAGAAGAATAGAAATAATATTTATTAAATAGCTAGGAGCTTAACATTTGATTTTGACTACATCTAGTCTACCTGTTGAGCCTCATTTGACGCCATTTCTTATTGCATAAAATAATGTTTTTGTAACTTCTTTGGTTTTAGAATATCGAGTAGAACATTTTTTACAGAGATCAGATGCAACATTCAATGGGCGCAGCCATTTTGAAACAGACAAGGGAAATAATGCACTAAGAAAATAATTAACTTATCTACTAAAGAACGCCTTGGCGAACTTGACGTAATAAAAAAAAATAAAAACTGTGCATTTTTCAATAATAATTTTAATAACATTATAAAAGAGTGTTAGATCTAGTTAACATTTCCTAAATGAGCTCAAACTGCATGATTTTCCAATATTAATAAAAACAATGAGCCACTTGTTTATGAAAGTACTTATGAAGTTGTGACTGTTTTTAAAATGTCTAATATGTTTTCTGTTTACTTTACAAGATAAATCTAAGTATACAGCCATTTCCAAATGGTTAAAAAAAGTTGATTAGAAAAATGAAAAATCATGCATCATAATTAAAAGTATACCACATTCTTTTTAAAAACAAAATCTGTATGATAAAATGTATTTTAAAAAGAATATTTTTAGACATTTATTTAGAGATAAGTTTTTTCATTAATAATCAAATAAATTTTTTATTACATTTCAATTAATTGGATATAAAAAAATTAAGTGCGCTTTCACAACATAAGATATATCTACTTTTATCAAAAAAGCTTTCACAACATAAGATATATCTTCTTTTATCAAAATAATTGTTAAGACCATATTTTTTATGTATGCTCAAACATGTTTTGATGCAGTGTGTTTGATACATTGCACTTAAATTGTAAATCAAGTTTGAATTAAAAGAATAATTTTTACTTGTGCATAAAACTGTTAATTTTTTTATAAATGAAAGAGTATTTAAAATTTAATGAATAATCTCTTCATTTTAAAAAACAAACAAGGAAAGGGGTAAAAGAAAGAAAATTACAATGTTAACATTTTAAATATATATAATTATAGTATATTATATAATTTTAAAAGTATGATAATAACTAATGAAGAATTTACACTATAATATTAGCTTTGTAAAAAAAAAATTTTTAAAGCATTTAAAGAATAGTACATTTCAAAAAATATTATGCTACATAAAAGTAACACAATTTTCATATTATAAAAAACAAAGTATAAAATCTACACTAAATACTATTTAGTGAGAGTCTCAACAATACATAAATGAAGCAGTAAATGATAATTCTGTACATTATTTCCAGTACATCAAAAACAGCATAAACTAAGTCTCATGGAATTTTTATTGTCAGGAGTTATTTTAAACATGCACTTTCTTTCTTTATGAACAAACTTTGTGTAAATATAAAAATGTCTTGTTACTGAACACCAAATTTATTGTAATAATATACAATGAAAAAAAATTCTGATGATATAAACCATAATAAATAATATACTTCTTTAAGCATCAAGCTAAAGGAGTTAAAATTTTACTCCTAATATAAAATCTTTGTCTGTTTAGTAATACTATATACCGAAAAATGTCATATATTGCATAATATTTATATAAGTCAAATGGCAGCAGCAAGCTCTGGCAGTCAAAGGATTCCAATATTTCATCAGGATGTAAATCATTAACCAGAAACCTGTCTCCTTTTGATAGATATAAATACCATCCACACCAAGGCACAGATATTACCAAACAGAGTGCGGAACTGAAATTTAAAAAGTTAATAAGTCAGAAACAGAAATAGATTTTTAAAAGATCAAAATCAAATAGTTAATTCTTTGACTATGATGTGGTTAGATTATTTTTTAACAGACAAAATTTCCAATTCTTCAGTGATCAATTGTTAATTTGCAGAGATTTTAAAAATAAAAGGTTGCAAGTCATAAACTGTGTTAAGTTTATAATAATAAAGTTGAGTGTATTTGTTGAAAGGAACTTACCTTTAAAGGGACATAATTCATGTTAATGTACTGGACAATTGACCAAACTGACCAATTTAATTTAAGAATCATCCAGTATGTTTCTCTGATTCTTTTAACTGCTCCTTTGTTTCCATGACCCTATTAAATAGAACAAAACATTGGTAATATTTTAGGATCTAGAAAGCTTTACTTGTGAATATTTGGACAATAAAACTTATATCAGGACATTAGGGTTTTGGTCTCATACTACACTATTTTTGATAAAATATTAATTTTGCAATGCATTCCTTTGACTATATTATGTGTATTCAAACTAGTAGTTTTGAAGTTATTTTGTTTTTATTGTAATTTTAAAAAAAATTTTTTTGTTTCATATTCTTCATCATCACATTTAAAAAATTTCATGAGTAAAAAATTTGAATAACTATCTACAACATTATTCATTTTTTTTAAAACACTGTATCAATGAAGTAAACAAACTGTATTCTTTTAGTACCTACCTCAATGATGGACACATAATACAAGAATATGAGCAAGAATGGTGGAGCAAAAACAATCCTGTCAAACAAAACTTTCTTCCACTGTGAATTGGGCTGATTTTTAGGAAATAGCTTTTCTAAAAAGGCATAGAAGTGATGTATCAATGGGCCATTAACTAGAAACCTGGAACAAAAGTAAAGTACATAAATTATTTTCCTTTAAAATCACACAAATATTAAAACACTCTTTTGTAAAATTACTACAGTAATATTAATTAAGCAGGACATAAGCAGTTTTTAATACATTTTACATTTTTTTTTTGCAAGAAGAATTAAAGTACATTTGTAAAAAAATTAACAAATACAGAAGTGTCTATATCAACTATATGAATGTTGCCTACCGGCTGAATGAAGTAAAACAGTAAAAAAAAAAATTAAAAACAATTATTTTATGACTAATACAACTGTATAAATATAGATAGACTAAACCATAGTAGTTTGAATGAATTCAAAGAACTAAATTTTTATTTCATACCCAAATGAAGTATAAGCAAAGACACTTCTCCAGTTTATTCGGCCTCCTGCTGACTTATCTGGAGCAGCTATTTGTGAAATAATATTCCCCACACCAGATACAATAGCACTGAAACACATAAAGGTGTAACAAAATGTTACAAATTATTATACAAAAAACAATTTTCAAGTACTTATAAATACACAATGGTAAGAGCTATGATACATTAGATCAGATCTTAAACTGAAATATTAAGCTTTTGGCCCAGAGTTTGTATTTTGCTTTTTACAAAATTTCACTTGAGGTTTGTGGATTAGGGCTAAGTTTAGAGTTAGGCATTAGGGTTAGGGATTAGGCACTAGGGAAAGCGATTAGCCTGATTAGGGTAGGTTTAGGCATTAGGATTAGGCATGTTAGGCATTAGGCCTCATTAATTTAGTGTAGGGATGGAGATTAGCAGTGGCGTAGCGACCCTTCCCGGGGACAAACTTTCAAATTTTTCATTTGCACCCCCCCCCCTCAAACTTTTGATTTGCACCTCCCCCCCCTTCCAAGTTTTTCTCTAGATATATTTTGCTATTTTTTGCCTTGGTGTCACCCCCCTAAATGGTGTCACCCGGTTCAGCCCGCACCCCCCCCCTTGCTACGCCTCTGGAGATTAGTCATCTTTAGGGTAGGGTTAGAATCTAATGCCTAAACTTAACTCTAACCGTTATAGTTAGGTTTTTAGGCATAAAATATTTAGAATAGGTTTCATTCAGGGTAAGTGATATTCTGATAAGGTTAGATCTAAAAAAAAATCTCATACAAATGAGTTAGGCCTAATCAAAATGAATTAGTCAATATTATAAAAAGTAAAAGGCTAAGACTTAAGACTAAGGTACATCTAGGCCATTCTAGGCCTAGGGCCTATCATTTTTTAATTCAGAATTATTTTTTTAATATGTAATAAGTAGATCTAGAGATTCTAGATCTGGACATAAGTTAATTAATAGTAATAGCATAGGCAATAGGGCTAATAAATAATTAATAGGCCTAGATCTAGGCCTAATAGTGCCTAATACTTTATTAATTTATTACTTTGTTGTAGCTTTTGTGATGACAGGTTTTTCTTGCAACAAACGAATATACTGTTGCAACGCTTTGTTTAAAATACCGTCGTCTTTTTTAGAACTTTTTGGATTCCCTGCCATATCTGAAGATCTTCTAGCTAGTCTAGTATTTGGATCTACGGTCTACGCCTAGGCTAGTCTAAATCTAGATCTATGGCGCGTGATATTCCTCTATCTATCTAGTTGCACTGATCTTGAGTATTTTAGGCTGTATGGGTGACGCTTTGAACTTTGAACTTTGAAAACGAAAGTTGACTGGATAAAAATACGGACTTCATTACGAAGATCTCGCTGGACTTCGCGAGATTTTCATCAATCAAAATGGCAGCTGATCAATAGCAATTCTGTTTATTAGTTATTGAAGGAGAATTTTTAAATTCACAACCTTTCCATATTCCATGGAACGGTATCCAAATTCAGATATTTACCTAGGTAGCCCAACAGCTATTGAAAAATTTGCCACGAGCTGCTATTTCTTTCATTTTGTGTGTCTCATTCTTATTTAAAAAAACTTAGATCAGCAGAGCAGTCAGCCAGGCTTATTCCAAATTTTCCTGCTTGAGAAAAAGAATAATTATTAAATTCTTACACTTCACTTTAGTAGTTATTTAGGCCTACTCAATTACTGTGACTGTTAGAACTGCAATAAGCAAATGCTAAACTGAAACTCGATCTCGATGTAGATATCTAGACTAAGTCTGACTAAGTGCTAAAAACGCCAACAAATGGGAGTAAACAGTGGAGTAAACACTAAACACGTACCCTGCGTTTATGATTCGAATTCAGAAGTTAATTTAAAATAATTTTGAATGATGCCCATATAGTAAGCTGAGTACAGTGAACCTGGCTTTTATTTTATAATTTATTGTGAGTAGGAAAAATAATAAAGCCAACATTATCATCTGGAATCTATGAATCTAGATCTACAGTTCAGGACAAAATTGGATTTTTTTATTTTTAGAAGTCTGGGCCTGCATTGGGGCATCTGCAATTTTAGGCAGTCTATTCATGAATGCTAGATTGAGATCCAGGCCTGCTGTTCTTAATTTGATTTTTTACAAATGGACCCTGAACAATATCTCTACTCGGATTACATCTCACAAGCTAACAAGAGAATGCAAACTGTAATCTTTCAATGTTGCCATTAATTTACTACAGAAGCCTCACTTCTGACAAAGATGATGAATGTTTCTTGTAACAGTCAACAAAAAAAAATGTTTTCGCTGCTTGTGGTATTGTTAATTTGTGATCAGACTTCAACAATTTTTCTGGGAGTTTCAGAAGTTAAGAAGTCCAATGACAGCCTAAATATGAGCGATAAACAAGATTTTTCAAGTATGCCAAATGATCAAGGATATTCAGGTAGATTCTCCATTTGAGTTTGAATTAAGCGTGTGGTTAGTGCTGAGTATGACCATGTAGGCTTTGGCTTATCAATTCTTTTCACTTTTTCTAAACAAATCATTTGTTAGCATTCAAAATTTGTCTTACAGTAGGCTATACAAAGCATAAGTTTAAAGTTAGTTATTTGAGTGCAATTAGTTTTAATTTTAAGTTAAATTTTAAGGCCAAATGATATCGTTATTTTAGACATGAAGTATGCTGAGAGTATGCAAAGCTATAGGCCTCATTATAAATTATAGTTTATAAATCCAATTGATGTTGTTTGAATTTTTAGTTACTCTAAAAAGTAATCTATCTTTTATCATCAAATGATATGACAGTGTTTGCCACTTATCCATTTTATATTAAATAAACTTTTAAAAATATATTTCAGATGATAATTTAAGACTAGGCTGTATAGACTGGCAAGGAAAAGTGGTGGCACATGGTGAAATCTATGTGCCCAACCATGAAGACATGTGTTCACAGTGTACATGTGACCAGAAGTTCCCCATTCGGTGCCAGTCAGTTGCTTGCTCACCCCCTCTCAACTGCCTGAAGCCAGAGATCGTCAAAGGGGCTTGCTGTGAATATGTGTGTGTTGACAATGGAGTTGCTAATGGGAATGTTACTGGAGATAACTCAAGTAAGGGCACTGTTTTGTAGTCTAATGCAATGTTTATGAAATTAATGTTATGAACTTCAATTTAAAATTTGTTTATAGTATAAATCGATAATAGAATAAGAAACATAATTATAATAACTGATTTTGTAGATAAGAATAGAGGTCAACTTAAGTCAAATGATCTTTAAGTTTTTTATATTGTTTGATTTTTTTCAGATGATGGAGAAAGCATCACTAATTTGTCTCTTAGATTAATAGCATCAACAGTCACTTCATTACTGGTTCTTGCTTTGCTTTTATTCATGGTACACAGACTTAGACAGCGCAGATTACTGTTAGCTATGCGGCGTAAGTTTTTGTTGCTACTTACAAATTTTTAAACAAATTTACCATTTAACCTAACCTTCACATGAAGTAGCATTTTTATCCACATTTTTTTTATAATGTTTATTTTAGCGGCATTGAAATACTAATTTATTTTGGGAAGGGAATTTAAAAGTTGCTGGAAGCTTCTATTTAAAAAAAAAATATGCGTACTCATCAAAGTATTTGATTAAACCAAATAAAACTATAACCTATATCATCATCTTTTTCTGTTCGTGTCCAAGACACATGGGGCATATAATGTAGAGTTACTCTACTTCAGAGACCTCAGCATATGAAGGGAAAAGTGTGGTCAGCACTATGCTCATCCGGCTTTGTTTCCCTAGCGTAAGTTAGGTACTCATCAGAGCTCAGTGGACTCAAGGACTTAAACCCGGATTCGAACTCAAGACTTTTGGGTTATCAGTCAAGTACGCCGTCCCACATAACCTATATAGTATATTAAATTTGACACTTTGTGTTTTTTATTTAAGGTTTTGAAGCACGTGCCAATCAAGTTCACAGTGAAGATACAGACAGTGAAATTTATATTCCTGACGCCTTTCTGTCCGTAGAATGCCCACCTTACACAGACCCACCTCCTCCATACTCTCCACCCAAACCACCCCAAATACTACCTGGCGAGCAGCCTCCACCATACGAAGAAATAAACCAAAACGGCGACGCTAACGGGAATTCTGCTAACGAAAACAGAAATGAAAATACCAGCTCGTCTTCTGCTCCAAACCCAGTTGTGCCAACAGCGGGGGCAGTCAGAGAGAATGTTTCTGTAAATAGACATTGCGGAAGCTCCAGTGCTGTAGCTCAGCAAGAATCACAAGGGAGATCAGTTGATTCCAGACACCAGCGATCAAACAGTGGTCCAGTACGGGCACAGCACCCCTTGCCTGCATATGCCAGCACAGATGTTGTCGATGGTTTAGGCGTGGTCATATCCCCTGGGTCAGACATAGTCAGCTACTCACCTTACAATGACGGCTGGGCCATGTGGCTGGGGGACCCCTCCATTCACAGCTCACACGTCCGGTACCGGGATCAAGGCCATCACAGAAATTCATACAGGGACCGTCCCAGGTCTCTGGGAAATGTCAACAGCTGTCGGGTGACACCCGTGCCGACGATAACTGCGTTTCAGCGGTTCTCAAATATTTTTAAAAGAGACAGTTGGAAACTGAGAAACAGGCGCCGGCCTGGTAGACCAGCGTCCGAATACAACATGCCTTCTCAGTATGCAACGGTCCCCAGGAATGAAATGTCCGTCGCCAGCGACAGCCACCACCAGCATCATCACAGTAGGGTGAGGAACTACCCCCGGCCACACAGCGGCAGGTTCCCTGACGGCATGTGCCTCAGCTATGACAGTTCCCAGGGAACGTACACGCTAGGTCCCCTCAGCCCCAGCACCAGTAGTTCCAACAGCACCAGCAGCACGGAGCCTTCAAGACAGCATTACACCATCAGCAGCAGCACCCCCGCGGCGTCCACCTCGAGTAACCACACCAGTATTAACCCACAGGGCGGCGTCTGTCCCATGTTTGACGAGCCACTGGTCAGCTCGTTTCACAGACAGCAGTTCCACAATGACCTGTGCCAGCACTTGCCCCCGCTTCAGTTAGCCGGCCAGCAGGAGGTGCCCACCCCTGCCCCTCCCACCTCCTGGGGTTCCAGTGTGTCACAGAACCAGTTTTCTGCTGGGTCAGCAGGTTTGGACCAGCACACATCAGGACAAGCCAGCCTTGAGAACACTACACTCGTAAGATCACAAGACAATGCAACCAATGGATTTAGCAACGTGCGTACATCCTCATCTGTACAAGCTTCATCATCCCATCCCACATATGCCTCGTCGTATGCAGATACACGGCAGTCGCTGGCTGCATTTATCATGTCCAACCCATCTGCAACCAGCACAGATTTAAAGGAACACGCACCAATCCCCCATTCAACTGCAGAACCAACCTCATCCAACTCTTTGCTATCAACTAGAACAGATACAGAAACACCCCACCCATTAACTGCAAACTATTTCTCTACTTTTCCATTGCGAAGTTTGAACACACCCCAGTCATCTAGAGAAGAGAACACAGCATACACCTCTGAACACCTGGCAACATCATCATCATCTTCTCCATCCCCAAGCCCCCCTCCACCAATTGTAGCCTCGTCGGGTGCTTTAAGAAGATCCCAGTCTGGCATGTCACAAGCCTCCATCTTCTCTGTCTGCTCAGAGACCGGGGAGAAGAAGCTGAAGAACAACTTCCCAGCTGAAGGGGAGTCCAGAGTTATCTCAGCAGAATCTCAGTACCCGGACTGCCACAGCTATACCCTGTCCCGGCTCCCTTACAGCAAACATGAAACTTTAGCTGCGACCCACGCCAGAAGTAAGTCAGACACTGATGGCACCAGTAAAGATGAAGGTGCTAGAGCCACGCTGCTTGCCTCCAACAAAACTGGTTCATTAGATTTCAAACAGCAGCCAAACCAATCATCAGAGAGTGCTGACATGTCTTCAAACTCAGTCCTAAATAACACAACTTTGAGCCCACCTTTAGATTTAGCCTGTGGTCTGCCTACAGCTACATTGCAGCAGTTCACAAGTGGAATCAAATCAACAAATGATGGCCTAGCCAGCTGTGTACTGCCTAGGGAACAGCCTGAAGGTGGTGAAGAAAACAATCTAAACACTGCCAGGATGGACAAAATCAACATGAAGAAATGCCTGCCTTCTGTGTATGAGGAAGGCAGAATGAGCCAGTCTGTCAATATTCCGCCCCTCTCTGCGCTGTCCAGCAACACCAACAGCAAGATGACAGCATCCTGTACGTATAAAGAAAACCAGCACAACTACGATCCCAACGATGCATCCAGCAGGGGTGATAAATCGCATGAAGCTGGGAAGAAGCAGAAGAAGAAGAGGTCCAAGGACAAGAACAGCTCCAGCCCGCAGTACAACAACAACAAATCAAAACACAACTCGTCCAGTCCCAAGCATGTCCGCGTCCACATTGGAGACAGGAAGAAATCAGAGGAGGTGCCTGAAGATAAGTTTAGACCAACCAAGCCAGACAAGAAATTAAGACATCAACTGGGCGCCACCAGGCAGCCTGTGAGGTTCACCGACATGGTCGGCGCCAACAAGCTTATGACCAGGTCTGCCGGCGATGCGTCTATGGTATACGGCAATGCTGATGTTTACCGGGGCGGTGGGGACTATTTTGCTTCGGCAATCTCCCACCCGCTACAAGAACCCACATTCCCTACGTATCCAGACCCATGGAATTACCAAGAGGCTCTTCATGATCCAAGTTTATCAGCAAGGCCTGGGATGAATGATCTAAACCAGCCACCAAACCTTTTGAAAAATGACGCTTCAGACAACGTGGTCACTGTGTTCCCTATATGTGGGACGACTGCCTTGGCGTCGGGGAAGTTCCAAGATGCCAACCTGCAGACGAGAAAAAAAGGAGGGTACAGGCGCCAGACGGTACCTGAGAAACCAGGTGCCGGTCCGTGTCGGCATAAATCACGTCCAAAAACTTTAGCCACTGCCTGTGATAACATGCATGATAAACGCAGTGACAATCTCACAAGATCTTCAGTAGTCGCCAGTGATGTTTTAGTTGGGCTTTGGCCATCTGTCGTGGCTGGTGAAGGGGTAGTGGTGGGGAAAGGTGCTAGGTCAGGTTTCGGTCATGATCTAAATTTCGAGGACCAGAATGGTATACCAGAATGGCTTGACGGCCATGATGTGGACTTTGTGCACAAGAGAGCTCTGAACTACGACGGCCTGCAGTTCCAGGTGAATTCCAACGGCAACAAGCCAGGTGTTCGAGCCGACGGAAACAACGACCCCCTAGCCACGTGCAACAAACTCTTAGCCATGCACCCTGGGAACAAATCTGGACTCAGCAGTGACTTGTCTTTTGTCAGCCGTGGCGCCACCGCTCCTGGCAACAGGTCCAAGAAGCGCCAGTCCCTCCCGTCATCAATTGGGGCGGGGCCAGACAAACCTTTGAACCCTGGGGAAGGGGATGTAACCAAATTCAGGGGAGAGAAACAGACCTCTGATGCAAAGCATGACAGGATGGCTTTAAGTGATGATTACAGTGAGGCTACTAGCTATGTGTGATGTCTGTCTCTGTGTAGATACTGAAGGTGCTCATTCTATTCTATTGATGGCTCTTTTCTACCATCATTGATGTTCATTTTTTAAACTATTTATAAACACAGCCTGTATTGCTAGTAAACCACAAGTTTTGTCAGCTGTATAACTGAATGTAATAACAAGATGTTAGCCACTTGTCAATCACTGCTACAGTATATTATTCAGCATTTGAGCATTTTATTTATTATGTTTTTTTTTGTAAAATATTGTTTTTAACACATCAAGTTGAATCTCTGTGTAATCTAGATGTTTATCAAGTTTACCTATGTACCAAATTTATCTCAGACATTCATGTCATTTTTTAATTTTGTTTTAACACATTGTAAGCTAATCAAAACACAATTGTTTTTTATATAGTTTTTTTTTAAAATCTATTTTCAACTTTTATATGTGAAAAAAGAAATCTGTTCTACTTTTGTTTTTACATTTTATGATTGTTGGCTTTCTTAAAAATAATTATGAAAACATTTTTAAGATTCTAAAATTTAATGATGTGGTAGTTGGCAAATTAATTATGAACACCTATTAACTTTAAATTAATTTTAGTGGTGATAGATATTATGATAGGATTATCTGATTATGGAACAAAAGCCTGCCATATAATTAGGGGGCTGTGTATTAAAGATTTATTTTAATTAAAATTCATCTTTTAATTAAAACTTTCCCTTTAACTGACACTTATATTTAAATAGTATTGTAATTAGGCCTAGAACTTTAATTAAAACTTCAATTTTAAAGATTATCTTTTAATAAAATCTTATTTTTTTAGTTCTATACCAAAATAACTGTTAACTCTCACTTATTAAAGTGCTATCATTATTTTAAGGATTAGATTGTTTTTGAAGGACCTTGTATTAGTGTTTCTTATAAATTTGCAAAAGATAGTTGAAGTTTTCACAGTCAGTGTCAAGAAAAAATGTTCTGTGAAGGTTAACTGAGAAATAATGTTTATTTTCAATCTGTTTTTCTAGTCTGTTGTATTTCTAGTTTAACATAGTTTGTTAGTGTGGCAGATTTTTACCTGTTACAAACAATATGGTTTTTAATTTTGCTGTAAAATGATCTGAATAATTTTTTATTTGTATTGTTTTACCTGTCAGTTTTTATAATTGTTTGGCTACTTTTTCAAGAAAATATTTATTTTACTGACTGCTAGATAAAAATTTTAGGACCATGCTTTTATGTAATCAAATTTATCTCCCTCTTAATGTACTTCTTCAGTTTAACAAATTGTTTCCCCTGAATGTGATGTAACTGCAAATGTAGCTTTATTTTACACCGCATCATACATTTCTCATCAGATAAGATCACAAACTTTTAACCACTGTTCTTCAAAATGACCCCTTGACTTACACTAAACCACTGTAGGTATGTATTATCTTAGTCTTCTACCCAATCTTAGTCAATCTTTTACAGACTGCTGATTATGTGTCCACTTTATACAACTGTCCATCTTTCCTTATGGTCAATGTTTTTAAATATGGCTAATCTCTCCTTCCTCAGAGACAGATTTTTCAAGTGTGATCATTTATTATTCAAATGATGTATAAGGATTTATATTATATCTACATTGATGTAAACATTGCCAAGAATGTGTAATTGTATTGATGTGTAATATATGCATTTAATTTTTAGATGAATTTTTAAATATAGTTGGTTGAAATATTGAGACAACTTAACCATTCAATCTTATTCATATTTTGAAATTTTGTAAACATATTTATAGTCAAAAGTTAAAATAACTTGTTGTTTTGTGGTACTCTGTTTTCATTGTAGTTTGTTTGCAAATACTGGAGCATGAATAGCATGAGTTTATAAACAGCTTTGTAAGTGTAGTGTTAAGTAAATGATATGATAATATAGTAGCTTTTAGAGTAATGTTTGTATTGTGTATACACAATGATAGGTATAAATAGGTAGTAACTGCTGTGCTAAGTCATTGTACAATATTGTACATCAATTTGTTCTATGAATTTAGCTAAGTCATTGTAAAATATTGTACATTAATTTTTTCTATTAGTTTAGCTAAGTCAGTGTACAATATAGTACATCAATTTGCTTTTTTAATCTAGCTAAGTCAGTATGCAATATTGTACAGCAATATGTTCTTTTAGTTTAGTTAAGACTGTGTACGATATTGTACATCAATTTGCTTTTTTTAATCTAGCTAAGTCAATGTAATTTGTTATCTTCATACATTTTAGCCAAATGAAAAATGTAATTTTCTTACACCCGTGTTTGAAAAATATCACATTGAACATTCTGTATGCAACATGTAAGCTGTATGGTTGTAATCAACCGCACCACAGATTAGAATGTATCTTGGATTAATTTTCAAAATTGTGTAAAAGAATTATTAATCTTGCCTTTTTTTGCTGAAGGAGTTACAAATAAATATAAGATATTCAAAGAGAAAACATAGGTGTAGGTTAATCTGTTTAGCTAAAATTTGCTAAATGGTTTAAAAATAAAAGATTAGACTTTCAAAGAGAAAACATAGGAGTAGGTTTATCTGTTTAGCTAAGGTTTGCTAAATGGTTTAAAATTAAAAGATTAGACTTTCAAAGAGAAAACATAGGTGTAGGTTTTTCATAGTCGCTAAGGTTTGCTAAATGGATGAGAGAGAAGTGTCAAACTCTCTAACTTAGGTCACATCAGTGTTAAACCCCAAGTATAACTTGCATGCTTGTGTGTATGTTCAGCAGTGTAAAGAACAGTTGTGTTTAATGTAAACCCTAAAAACTACTTGATGGATTCTTTTCTTCTCTATACTTATTTAAAAAGCATGGTGTTCTACGGGTTCTATGATTGTAAGTAGATACAAGTATTTAATTGTAACGAGATAAAAATATTGAAGTGATTGTGTTTGTCGAGCTTATTTTATACCAAATTTTTGGGGAGATGCAATACAGTGTATTTGATACAGTCCACAATTGATGTATGTTTTCATATTCACATTTTGATGTTTGTTCTACAAAATGGACAGATAAGTAGTAACTGGTAATTTTTTTTTATGAAGCTATAATATTCATGTCTATGTTCATTGGTAAGTCTGTTTGCTATTAAGTACTTGTGGATGAGAAAATTTAATATGCTCGATTTTTTTGTTATATATTAAACAAGTTGTAAATATAATTGAAGATCAATTTTTATAAGAGTCCCATTTTTTTTATTTAGTTTAAAACAACTGCAAAAAAAGGTATGTGAACCCACTGGAAGTAAATATTTAGATTTAGAGTTTTAGCTTCTCTAACCTGGTTAAATTAATATTATTTATGGTAAGGACAAGATTTTTTTTAATAGACTTTTTCTTCAATAAAAAAACACAAATTATTGTAAACTGGTACACAATTTTAATGAAAAAAGAAGAGCAACTTAAAATGTTTATGACAAGAAGAATCAATCTCACAGAGACTGTTTAGATTGTGTAGTGTTGTCTTCTGTAGTCACCATACAATCTTGTGTAGGGGGGGGGGGAGGGTTGGTGATCACAGGGGTGTGGCTGTCGTTTTAGTGTGTGTGGTGATTCTCGGTTGACCAGAGTATCTATCAACAGGCTGAACCCTGTATACAATATATGAACAGAATGTACAATTAAAATTTGTTGAACGTAACAAATCTTAACACAATCCTATGACCAGTCTGAACAATTCATTATTTTTTCAACAATTTTAATGATGTTCGCTAATTAATTTTAAAGACGAGAAAACACCAAACCTATTTATAACAATGTTTTTAAAGTTTTATAACCAGTCCACATATGAATGGGTGCAATCTCATATTTTTTTATCCTATACTCTTGTGTGCACTTAAGTGTAAATATTCTGAAAAATGTATTGCCATGAAAGATACTTTAAAAACTAATTACCCCAAGGTGTAGACAGAGCTTTAATAGTGAGGTTTTATCTCTACTTGACCTTTCTGATTACTTACAAAGACTGTAGTTTTGTTGATACAAGAGAATATAGATAAACTAGTTTTGTTGATACAGGAGAATATAGATAAACTAGTTTTGTTGATACAGGAGAATATAAACTAGTTTTGTTGATACAGGAGAATATAGATAAACATGATGGGGTTGTGTGTAGGAAGTGATAAGCCAGTTGTATCATGTTTCTTCATCTGCTCTAACCGTGTTGTGAAACATTGGGTGCTCATTTCTTCTTCTTATTGCTGGTTATTTCTCATGATTCTATCATTATTATCATGTAACTTATCATCATGTAACTTATCATCATATAGTACTTTCAGGCTTATCCGACTTGTCATGTGATACTTGCAGTCTTATCATTCAACTTACTGTATGGTATTTTCAGAGTTATTGTTACAACTTAGGGTATGATACTTTCAGACTTATTTAACTTAGCGTTTGATATTTGAGAATTATTCCTCACACATCACATGATACTTTCAGACTTATCCAACTTATCACGCTTTACTCTCAGACTTACTTTATCACATGATACTTACAGACTTATCAAAGTTTCCACATGATACTTTTAGACTTGTCCAACTTATCACATGAGACTTTCAGACTTATCCAACATATTCTATAGGTCAACTTATCACATGATACTTTCAGACTTATCCAACTTATCACATGATACTTTCTGACTTATCCAACATATTCTATAGGTCAACTTATCACATGATACTTTCAGACTTATTCAACTTATGGCATGATACTTTCAGACTTATTCAACTTATCGCATGATACTTTCAGACTTATCCAACATATTCTATAGGTCAACTTATCACATGATACTTTCATACTTATCCAACATATTCTATAGGTCAACTTATCACATGATACTTTCAGACTTATCCAACTTATCACATGATACTTTCAGACTTATCCAACTTATCACATGATACTTTCAGACTTATCCAACTTATCACATGAGACTTTCTGACTTATCCAACATTCTATAGGTCAACTTATCACATAATACTTTCAGACTTATCCAACTTATCACATGATACTTTCAGACTTATCCAACTTATCACGTGATACTACCAGACTCCCACTATACAATGCCTTGATTCATCTCTTCACCCATTCCTCTGTTCACCAGAGACCACAAGTACTTGAATCAAATCATGCTGTTGTTTTATCTTACAACATAAACCCCCATTCATACCTAGCTGAATCTCAGCATAGTTGAACAGCAATAGTTCATCTCGCTTGAACTAGTTTTACCACCTATTTCCTAGGAAACAGTGTTTCTTTCAGACTTTTTTTCTCAGTGGGAGGGGGCGACGGACACTGATTAAAGTATATTTTTTCTATATAAATTATTTTTCATCGGGGGGGGGGGGGGGGGCAGTGCACCCCTTATCCCCCCCCCCCCCTGAAGAGATGTCTGAAAGGAACACTGCTACCCAAACTCCCTAAGTCTTAA